GACTGCCATAGGAGTTGGACTTGTTTTAATGTTATCTAGTCCAAATTTGGTAAGCATATTCTTAAGATACTTAGACTGATTGATGAAAATTCCAGAGGAACTTTGCTTAACTTGCAGACCAAGAAAGAACTTAAGTTCACCCATCATACTCATTTCAAACACAGACTTCATGGTTTCACAAAAGGCAGTACAAAGGGAGGGATCAGATGATCCAAAGACTATGTCATCCACATAGACTTGGACCAGAAGTATTTTACCAGAGACTTCCTTAATGAACAGGGTTTTATCCGTGCTTCCTTGCACAAATGAGTTTTCAAGAAGAAAGGCTGTGAGGCGTTCAAACCAGGCCCTAGGCGCTTGTTTGAGTCCATACAACGCCTTATTCAATTTAAAAACATGATCAGGATGTTCAAAGTTCTCAAACCCAGGGGGTTGTGAGACATACACATCTTCTTGAATAAATCCATTTAAAAATGCACTTTTAACGTCCATTTGGTATAAAGGAAACCCTAAGTAACTAGCATAAGCACATAGAAGTCTTATTGACTCAAGCCTAGCTACAGGGGCAAATGTTTCATCATAGTCTACTCCTTCTTCTTGAAGGTAACCCTGAGCTACTAACCTAGCTTTATTCCTAATGATGAATCCCAACTCATCAGACTTGTTTCTGAACACCCATTTGGTTCCTATCACAATAACATTAGGAGGTCTTGGGACCAGATCCCAAACCCTCAAATGTTCAAATTGTATTAATTCTTCTATCATAGCAAGATTCCATTCTTCATCTTTTAGAGCTTCCTTATAATTTTTTGGTTCAATTTGTGAAACAAAGGCATACTGCCCAGGAATGTACTTACCTCTTGTCTGAAGTTTGTCATTTATGTTCCCTATGACTTGACTCTCAGGATGACGCTTCTGTATATGAGGTGGGGCCTTGGGAACTTCAGTGAGATCATCTCGTTCTTTATCAGAATGATCAGCCACTTCCACATCTTGCTTGGTGGTAACCTGTTCACTAGGAGAAGCTAAACAAGGAGAGGTGAGTTCACTTAAATCAAAACTCATAGTGATATCTGGTGTTGCTGGTTCTGTTTCATTGAAAACAACATGCACAGACTCTTCAACCTTCTTAGTTCTTTTATTGAACACTCTGTATGCTTGTCCCTTAGATGAATACCCTAGGAAAGTAGCAGGATCTGACTTGGCATCGAATTTTCCTAGTGAATCACGAGTATTTAAGGTGTAACAGGGACATCCAAATGGATGAAAATAGGAAACCCTAGGAGTTTTTCCCTTTAAAATCTCATAGGGAGTTTTATTTAACTGTTTTCGAACCAAAACTCGATTTATGACATAGCAAGCAGTACTAACTGCTTCAGCCCAGAAAAACTTAGGAAGATTATAATCAAGAAGCATAGTTCTGGCACTTTCAATCAAAGTTCTGTTTTTGCGTTCTACCACTCCATTTTGTTGGGGGGTTCTAGGAGCAGAAAAAGAGTGATTTATTCCAGATTTATCACAGAAATCAGCAAAATCATCAGAGATGAATTCTCCTCCATTGTCACTACGAATGCTTTTTAAGGATTCATTGTTCAAGGAAACAAATGATCGAAATTTTTCAAAAGTTTCATCCTTGTGGGCCAAGAAATATACCCAGGTGAATCTAGAATAGTCATCCACTAGCACAAATACATAATTTTTTCCTCCCAGACTAGTTACATTACAAGGCCCGAATAAATCCATGTGAATCAGCTCATAGCTTCTGGAGGTGGTAATGTCTAGTTTAGGTTTAAAGCTTTTTCTTTTGTGTTTACCAGCAGCACAAGCATTGCAAAAGAATTCCATTTTGTCTTTCAACTTAGGAATTCCTCTAGCTAAACTCGATTTAGACAGAATAGCTAACTTGGATAGGCTGACATGGCCTAGTCTTTTATGCCATAGTACTTCAGAAGAGACTGAGGTGGCTTGAAGGCATTTGGCATTAACTAACCTAGGATCAGAGATGTCCACTATGTACATGTTGTTTACTCTTTTTCCTACCAACAGGACTTTGTTGTTGTTTATCTGTTCTACTGAACATTTCTCATTTTCAAAAACAACACGGTTTCCATTACTACATAGTTGACTAATTGATAGTAGGTTGTGTTTAAGACCTTCAACAAGCAGAACATTCTTTATAATAGGACATGGACTTTCACCAACACTTCCAGACCCTACTATTTGACCTTGACTATCATCTCCAAAAGTTACCTTACCCCCACGTTTCATAGTAAGAGAATTGAATAGAAGTTTCTTACCAGACATATGGTGTGAACACCCACTGTCAAGGTACCATTTTGAGTCATCTAATGAGGTGGAATCCTGATTGATTTTGACTGATAGCTCACTGCTTGCAGAGGCCATGAGTGCCTTTTCATCTCCACCATCATTTTCATCTTCTGACTCGTAGTCACTCCATGTTGCTTTCATGGCTCTTTCTTTAGCTCTTAGTGTGAGTGGACAATTAGCCCTGATATGGCCTGGCTTTCCACATTTGTAGCATTCTTGAACTTCTTTATCCTGATTTCCTGTATCAAATTGTCTGGTCTGCGGTGTACGCAGCCTTTCTTGGAACGAGCTTCTGATCTTGTCAGAAGGGTTAGTACGATAAGAAGAATTCAAGGATTTCTGCTTCTGTTCTTGTTTATATTTGAGCATCCTATGAAACTTATTGCTAATCAGAGCAAATTCCCTACTAAAGTCTTCACCTAAATCAATATCAGATTCATACTCTTCAGCCTGTGATTTAAAAGCTAGAGTTTTCTTTCGTTTTTCATCATCTCTATTTACTTGCTTGAGAACATGTTCATGACTGAGGAGTGAACCTATCAACTCATCTATAGCCATGGTATTCAGATTTCTAGCCTCTTCGATAGCAGTACGTTTAGGTAACCATTCCTTAGGAAGTGATCTCAAGATTTTTCTGTTTAAGTCTTTCAAGAGATAGGTTTTTCCTAGCCCTTTAAGTTTGTTAATCAAAACAGTAAATCGAGAATACATTTCGTGAATTCCCTCACCTGGAGCCATGTCGAAGCACTCATACTCATGCACCAGGAGATCAATCCTGGTTTCCTTGATATTCGAAGACCCTTCGTATGTGCTTTCAAGAGAACTCCAGATTTGCTGAGCCGATTCGCAGTGCTCGACCTTGTCGGCTTCTTCTGGTATCATGGCGGACTGAAGAATGTGCATCGCTCTTTGATTTAGCTGAGCACTCTTCTTCTGTGCCGCCGACCAAAAACTCTGTTCAGCATCTTCCATGGCGATGGGACCATCTCGAACCACAGTCCACAAATCTTCATCGACTCCCCAGAGGAATGTTTTCATCCTCTTCTTCCATGCCGTGTAGTTCGAGCCGGTGAATACTGGCGGATGATTGTAAGAAGCTTGCCCAAAATTGCCCGACGCCATCTCCCTGGACCACTCTTGGCAGTAATTAGCTCCCTCTCAAGAACCTGCGCTCTGATGCCACTTGAAGAAAAGAAGATTTCGTGAAACAGAATGTGAAGACAAAGAGAATTAGGGATTTTGACTCCCTTGAGTCAATTCTTTTGACAATGAACTAATGGACCAAAACCGGAAATTAAACCAAACCGAAATAAGTCTCAACAGGCTGAATTAATTGGAATGGGCCGAGACACTTTGAGCCCACAAACTAAAAACCACTTTCCCTCTAGTCCAGCCCACGACCGAGTTCAGAGTCAGAGAAGACCAAACAGTCTTCTTCTTCCTCGTGCCAGCCAGCCTGAAACAGAGCCGAGCAGAGCAGGGGAAAACGGAAACAGAGGGAAATGGAAATGCAGAAAATGAAGAGCAGAAATTAAAGAACACAGCGGGATTTTTAACGAGGTTCACCACAGGGTTACTCCTCGTCCCGGAATAGTACCCACTATTCCGAGAGACACTTTTGATTTTCTTTGACTCTAAGAAAATGAAAGAGGAAAAGAGATTACAAGTAGTTGTGAGAAAATCAAAAGGCCGGACACTCAACCCAAATCCACGCAGGGATTTGTTACAACCTTTGATCGACTGAACCTCTACCCCAGTCTTGATCAAAGCCACTGTTTCTAACCCTTTGCCCTTTCCCACAAAGAAATCAATCGAAACAGCCAAGTCCGAGAGCCAAGCTTCTTCATTTATATAGCCTTCAGCAAGGAGCCGTTGAGAACACTCTCAGAAATGGAAGTTATTCAAATCTTCAATCAACTCCCCCTTGATTCAAGCATCAATTATCTCGATTCTCTTAAGCAATCTCTTGACTTGATTTGATTGGAAATCTTCGAGGCCAACAGTTTTGACTTGAATTTAACTTATTCTGAGGTACCTTACTAGAAATTATATTTATCTCGACTAATATGGGTTAAAAACATGAGATTGCCTTTGAGATTAAGCTCATCAAGTAAGGTTGACGAAGGTGGAACCTCGTAGTTTCTGATCTGGATCTGTCGCGAGTCACTTCGGGGAGGCTCAAAACCGACATGGAGACCTGTGGCGCGAGCTCCTCTTCCCTCTTTCGACTCAAACCCAAATCAATAAAAAAAAAAAGCTCATTTCTTCGTAACGATGGATGATGTTACCCCAATATTAACCGTTGATCATGAGTTGACCTTCGATCGAGAGATTCGAGAAGTTGTGAGGAAATGGTTAAATAGAGTTACAGTGCTAATTGTACAAGAGTTAGCACCGTCCTAACCAAGGGGAAAACTACTACTAGTTTGAATTAGTAGTGATTTAGCTTAGATGTTGTATTGATTTTATAATAATCCGTAGTGATTTCGTTGTTTTTAGTAGCGTTTTTTGCTAGTTATCATGGTGCTAACCCCTATAAGGGATAGGGGTTAGCACCTAATCCCATTCCGGTTAAATACTATGTTCAAACCGGTGGGTTAGCACCTAATCCCATTCCGGTTAAATACTATGTTCAAACCGGCCACCAATCCAACGGTATTTCAAAAACATAACGACCTTATCCGTTTCTGCCTCCACAATCCAGCCATGGCGATGGCGGCGTTTTCTTCTCCATCTTCTTCTCCGCTCGCAGTTTCATCAACCGTAGTTCCCCATTCCCTATCCGTCACTGATCCTCCGTCCCAATTCCTCCCAAACCACTCGCCTCTCGCTCTTCTCTCCACCTGCAAAGACATCCGAACTCTCAAGCAAATTCACTCGCTCGTCATCAGAACCGGCCTCCACCACAACAACACCCAGTTCGCTCTCACCAAGCTAATCGAGTTCTGCGCGGTTTCTCCCTTCGGCGACCTTCCCTATGCTCTGTCGCTCTTTCACACCGTCGAAAACCCTGATCAGAGAATCTGGAACCACGTGATCAGGGGATTCGCGCTGAGTGAATCCCCTGTTCTGGCCGTGGAATTTTACATACGTATGATGGTGGCTGGTTTGGAGCCGAATAACCATACGTTCCCCTTCGTTTTGAAGTCGTGCGCGAAGCTGGGGAATGCCCATGAAGGGAAACAGATCCATGGACATGTTCTGAAGCTCGGTGTCGATAACGATCCGTTTGTGCATACTTCCCTGATTAATATGTACGCTCAGAATGGTGAATTGGGTTATGCAAGATCAGTGTTCGACAAAAGTCCCAAGAGAGATCCGATTTCGTATACTGCTTTGATCAATGGGTATGGTTCGAGTGGGCTTGTGGATGAGGCCCGGAAGCTGTTCGATGAAATGCCTGTTAGAGACGTAGTATCGTGGAATGCTGTGATTGCAGGCTATATACAGAATCGCCTATATGAAGAGGCACTAGCTTTCTTCGAAGACATGGTTAGAATGAGAGTTACCCCGAACGTGAGCACCATGCTGTCTGTCCTTTCAGCGTGTGCAAATTCGGGATCTCTCGAGTTAGGCAATTGGGTGCATTCATGGATTGAGGATCATGGGCTAGGATCAAATCTCAGGCTTGCCAATGGTCTTGTTGACATGTATGCTAAGTGCGGAGATCTAGAAAGAGCTAAGAACATGTTTGATAACATGGAAACCAAGAGTGTTGTCTCATGGAACGCTATGATTGGTGGGTATAACCACATGGGCTGTTACAAGGAAGCACTGGAGATTTTCAGACGGATGCTCGAATCAAATGTTGACCCTAATGAGGTAACCTTGGTAAGCATTCTTCCCGCTGTTTCAAACTCAGGTGCTCTAACTCTCGGTAAATGGATCCATGCTCATATAGACAAGAACATGAACAAATTTCAGTTGACTAGAAATAGTGCTCTATCGACAAGCCTCATTGACATGTATGCCAAGTGCGGCGATATCATGGCAGCCAAACGAATCTTTGATTCCATGGAAATTAAAAGTTTGGCTTCTTGGAATGCAATGATATCTGGGTTAGCCATGCACGGGTTTGTTGACATGGCACTCAAACTCTTCTCCAGAATGACAAACGAAGGGTTTGTACCAGACGACATCACCTTTGTCGGTATATTATCTGCTTGTAACCATGGTGGTTTCGTAGAACTTGGAAGGAAGTACTTCTTTTCAATGGTAGAAGATTATAACTTTACGCCTAAACTTCAACACTATGGTTGCATGATAGATCTTCTAGGCAAAGCTGGGCTATTCGATGAAGCAGAGATACTGATAGATGATATGGTAGTGAACCCTGATGGAGCCATATGGGGTTCTCTGCTTGGCGCTTGTAGGCTTCATGGACGAGTGGATTTGGCCGAAATGGCTGCCAAGCGTGTTTTCGCGTTGGAGCCTGAAAACACTGGTGCGTACGTACTCCTGTCAAATATCTATGCTAAAGCTGGGAAATGGGATGATGTGGCGAGAATAAGAACTAGGATAAACGATAGAGGACTGGAGAAAGTTCCCGGTTGTAGTTCTATTGAGGTGGATAGTGTTGTTCATGAGTTTCTAGTTGGTGACAAGACTCATTCTCAGAGCGATGAAATCTATGAGATGGTGGATGAGATAGATGATTTGTTGGAGAAATCTGGGTTTGTGCCGGATACTTCCGAGGTGTTGTATGATATGGAAGAGGAATGGAAACAAGAGGCTCTGAGCCATCATAGCGAGAAGCTGGCCATTGCTTTTGGGTTGATCAGTACAAAGCCAGGGACTACCATACGGATAGTGAAGAATCTGCGTGTTTGTGGTAACTGCCACTCTGCAACTAAGCTGATTTCGAAGATATTTAACAGAGAAATCATTGCTAGAGATAGAAATCGGTTCCACCATTTCAAAGATGGGCTGTGTTCGTGTAACGACTACTGGTAAACCATGTAAGTAAACTGAACTTAGTTCCCGTTTGATTACTCCAATTGCTGAATACATATATGTCTTAGTTTCATAAGTGAAGTTCATCTTATTTTTAAACAACAGTGGATGAATTTCACATAATTGGTCATAGTAGAAACTAGAATCCATGCTTCTTCAATTGTTGGAAGCATGCTTGAGTGAGTTCTTTCTTGCAGTAGCTAGGACAGTCTTGTCAGCAACTATGAAATAGGCTGCTCCAGCAACTGCCGTTCAAAGTTCAAACCATGAAACTCCATCAACAACTAGGCAAAACATAAGATAAGAATAAAGATAATCACTTCTTTCTTTGGTGAAAGTGAGCCGACCTGTGGAGATGATGAGAGCTTGGGCAGTGTGATTGAGATTAGCTCTTGCCCATGGAAGCACTCTTGCACTAGTCAGCTGCATATTTCCACATGCATGGGCCACAATATGTCAGAGTTTGGGAAATGTTTTAAGTCGTCTAGGGGTCAAGAAAACATAGAGAGTCTTCTTACAGAGATTTGATGAAGAGAAGGAACTTACAGTTGGAATAGCAGTAGCAATGCCAGCTAGGACAGCTGCCTTTGCTCCTGCAACCACTCCCTCTGTAAAAAGCAAAACCATAAAAAACATGGGGAAGAATGTTAGTACTCAATAAACATAATAAAAAAGCAAGTTAATTATTCTACTATTAATTAACTTATTCATTATAGGTTATCCAGCAGCAGTAAATCTTGACCGAACATATTCCACAGCTTTTCTTCATGTGCAATTTTGAGTCTAAAGTTACAAGCTTTAAAAAAACCTCTCTATTGAAGAAAGAAAATCGGAAAAAGAAGTTGTTTGTTTGATGACTTGGTCTAAGGTTAGGTCCATCATCATAATCAAAGTTCCCCTTTTCTTCCCTTCCTTTCCTTTCCTTTATATCCATTTTGATGCTGAAACATACAAAAGCTTTCTATGCATAAGATACTCTCTTCCTTGGGGCCAAAAGTGAGGGGATTTGAATTGATTCATTCAAAAAGGCTCCAAATGGGGATGTGGGTATTATCATAGACCACATCTTTATCACATTGTAGGCACATATGAAAAACAATACATAGAGTATACCTAGCTAATAATCATGACAAAGAAGCATCATAACAATAACATATAGGTTTTAAGTGTTTCTATGATGGGTGGTGGCTGCTTTTCTCCTGAATCCCAGAAGTCCCAATCTCAGGAACAGCATGGGGAACCAAAAAAAGCAATTTGCTATGCATGCTCAAAAAAGGGGATACTGATGATCACTAAAGAAAGGAGGGAAAAGTAAAACTACATACCATGAGAGCAACGCTTGGCCATGGCCAACCTTTGGTCAAGTGAAGCCATGCTTGTTTCCAGGGGAGATTGAGCCACATTCTTTGCCATAGTTTGTATTTAGATTTGAAAACAGAAGAGAAGAGGGCAAAATAACTTGAATGCTGAATGAACTTGCTTGCTTTGCTGCTGGGTTTTGATATGAGTTTGATGAAATGACTGAGCCATGGTTGTGGGGTTTATATAGGAAATGGTTTTCTCAGGAGGGGAGTTTGATGGTTTTGCAGTTGAATACCAACAATAAGAGTCGCTTGTTTTGGTTGTGGTTACAAAGGTTACTAGTTCTGGTCGGTTGATTCCTCTGTCTTCTGCTCCCCTTCCCAAAAAGTACTCTGTTCGTTTCTCTGTGTGGCTTATTAAATATTAAGTTGAAATGTGACACTTGTGAGAAGAAAGGCAAAAACAAAGTCCCCCAGGTATAAACATGTGCTAGCTAGGTATCAATTCTAAAAGTAATTTGTATCTTTAGTTTATTAAGTAATCTTCATAATCTTGGATTCACCTGAAGTATTATGAGTGCCCCAACAATATTTAATGCCTCTCGTGTTCTTATCATGCGTCACTGCTAATGGGTATTATTAACATAACTAAGCGCAGCTTAGTGCTTTGTGAATTGTGATGTCTTAATCATCACTGAAATATAAACTGAGGTCTGTGGAGGTGGCCGGTGGCCGGTGGGCACGGGGATCTAGTACTAGTAGTCCCTTATCCACTGGCTGCTTTGCATTATAATCATCTCTGAAATATACAGCAGCAGCAGCAGCATAGCAAAAGCCAATGGAAATGATGCAGAGGCAAACAAAATGAGGACATGGTATTACAATATGTTGTGCTTGCATATTATTATTATCCTCCTTCATTTCTCGTCTGTCTTAATCGAAAATTTTAATATGAATAGATTGCTTCGTTTGGACCGGTTACATATTCTCGATATTGTTCTCGATCTTGTTTCGGTGTAGCTAGACTAGTCTAGCTTGATTCAGGTGATAATGGTTCTTTTACTTGCTTGAAAAAATCATTTTATTTCAGTTGTGATTGATTGTCTATGAGATGGGATGATGTTTGTTTTGACAGATTTAGCTCAGGTAGTTTGCTTTTAAAGGTTTGTCTGTGCTGCTTATCTGGTTTTAGGCCAGGAAGGAAGGAAGCCAGTGGTTTAGTTAGTGGGTTCACCTGAGATTCTGCACCAAAACCATGGGTGGGCTGCTTAGTGCCTGGTGCTAAAAGGTGTACAGATCCAAGACCGTTCGTTGTATGTAACTAGCACATGTGCGCTTTCAATCCCGATTTACTTTCATCTGGGGATGGGAAAGGACTCGTTCTTATATCGAATCGAATTATATCGAATCGATTTTTGGACGGAATCATATTGAATGTGTTTTTTATTTTACAAATTATTTTAAGTATGAAAAAAATATAGATTGGATTTAAATTTGGACCGAACCAAATATGCTTTTGATTTAGTTTTATCCTCGATTTTCCTTTGATTTTGATCTTGTCTGTTCTCGATTTGATTTGGTTTAAGACCGAATCAATGCCCATTGCATCCTTTGATTGGGAAACATATCCTCCAAAGATGGATGGACAGATGGTCCTACATGTAGAGGTGGCCATCGGTAGATCCAATATAGAATTATTTATCAAAAGGATGACTAAAAGTATATTTGGTTCATTTGATTCGATTTGGTCCCCTGCCCAATTAATTTCCGATCGTTTTTTTCTTTCTTCATACTTAAAATAACTCATATGATCATGATTGAAATAACTCATTCGATCCATATTCGTGGTACGATTTATTTAGTATGTATCGGATCATTGCCTACCCCTTACCTCCAGGCTACATGCACCAGCAAGGACTTATGGACTTGGACCTGTACTTGTGGACTTGGACCTGTAAACAATATTGAGGATCGATGAACCCTCCCACAACTTGGACCTCCAAACTAATCCCGACAAAATTAGGGGTGGCAAAAGTATCTATCTACTTACGTGTACAATGAAAAAAGGTGTCAAAGAGTTTATCGAATTAAGGTATCTGACAAATTAAAATAATCGTTGAAAAATATGACATGAAGTTCGTGATCATTATTTGGAGATTACCTCATCATGAATACAAAGTAAACGATTCTTACTTATACAAGGACGAACTACCAACCAATCTTCATTAGCACCAGGCCGAAGGAACCCAAAACTAGTTCCATGCATATTTCACTCAAAGCGGACAAAATTATACTAATGGAAACCTCCTGAATCAACGACGTAAAATATGTGCTTGCCTAGTGAGATATATAGTTGCCCCGTTGACTGCACATACATACAGAAGTATCACTTCCAACGCTGCTCACATCACTGTCACTTCCAAATTCTACTGCTCGAAAAGCTTCCAATTCCTCTTCTTTTGGTCTATTAGAGCTGTGGCTCTAAAAGGGCACATTGAGTGCCGTCAGTTTTAGGCAATGAAGAAGACCGGCGTTTCTATGATACGAACACTGATTGGCGTCCGTTTTGAGTCGAATAACTATCAAGAACCAGTTGATCAAAATAACTCGAGTTGTTGGGAGAGGTTCAATCGTGGATCATATACCGTTTATTAACACCCTCCTTCAAACTCAAGCCATTCAAATAGGCTTGGAGTTTGGACAGGCACAGGTCCGGACACCGTGTGCTTAACAGAAACGGAAACAGATGGGGGGTCACCGGGATTCGAATAGAAGGCCTCACGGTCACAGAAGGCTCTGATACCATATCAAGAACCAGTTGATCCCAATAACTCGAGTTGTTGGGAGAGGTTCAATTGCGAATCATATACCGTTTATTAACAATAACAACAACAATACAAGATCCAAAACCCCAACCCCTACTCTTCATGAAGAAGACCGACTTTGACTTCTGCAACCAACACACAGACAAATGATCAGCAACGACCGAATCCCACACCACACAAACATACTTGGATAACATTCACCACTACCCTGTTTATAAAAATCAAAGCTTTACAATATCCAGAGCACCGCACGATTCAACAAAACCCACCAATCAAAATGGCTCCAAATCATGAATCCCCTGTTTCTTCTTCTTCTGCTTCTTCCATTTCACATTCAGTACTAGTGATTCTGCAGGCCATCCTTCTGCTTCTTCCTTCCGCCACCGCCACCTCATCGTCATTAACTGCTCGGCGAGAAGCGGAGGCTTTGCTGGAATGGAAAGCCAGTCTCAGCAAAACCCATCCCCTGATGAAAACCTGGGCTCCATTTTCCTCCCCCTGCAGCACCACCACCGCCGCCTGGTACGGAGTCCACTGCAACCGAGCCGGGCGGGTTCACCGGTTGAACCTGACCGGCTCGGGCATCGAGGGTACTCTCGATCGGTTCCGTTTCTCCCGTCTCCCCAAGCTCGCCTACATCGACCTCTGTCAGAACCGGCTCTGGGGCTCGATCCCGTCTCGACTCGGTGTCCTCTCGCGCCTGGTCTACCTCGACCTGTCCGCGAACCGGCTCAACGGGACGATCCCGCCCGAGATCGGCCGGCTCGCGAACCTCGAGACCCTCCACCTCGTCGAGAACCAGCTGGTCGGGCCCGTTCCGGGCGAGATCGGCCGGCTGGTTAACCTGCGGGACCTCGCCCTGTCCAGCAACCGGCTGGACGGTCCGCTCCCGGCTTCGATTGGGAACCTGACCGGCCTGGCTTTTCTTTACCTCTACAACAATTCCATCTCGGGCCGCCTCCCCGACGAGATCGGGAATATGTCCGGTCTGGTCGAGTTCTATATCGACACGAATAACCTGACCGGTCCGATTCCGTACAGTTTCGGTGGTTTGCGGAATCTCGCCCTGTTCTACGCTTTCAAGAACCGGCTTTCGGGTCCGATTCCTTCGAGTTTCGGGAACCTGGCTTCGCTTCGGAGTCTGAGCCTTTACTCGAACCGCTTCTCGGACCGGATTCCACCATCCCTTGGCGGTCTATCGAGTCTAGTCATGCTTCACCTCCATGGAAACCAGCTTTCCGGCTCGATTCCGACGGAGCTGGGAAACCTCAACAGCCTGGTTGATTTGGATTTGGGCAGGAACCGACTCAACGGTTCGATACCTTCCTCCTTTGACCGACTCGTCAATTTGAAACTGCTGTTCCTTTCCGGTAATCGGTTAACCGGTTCGATCCCTCCGGGGATCGACAACTTGTCGATGCTGATCGAGCTCCAGGTATTCGATAACCAGTTGACCGGTTCGATTCCTCCGAATTTGTGTGGGTCCCTTCGCAGAATCGGAGTCAACGGGAATCGCCTCTCCGGTCAAATCCCAGCGAGCCTGAGAAACTGCTCCAGCTTGGAAAGAGTCGTGTTTCAAGGGAATCGTCTCCGAGGAAACATCTCCGCCATTTTTGGCATCTATCCGAAGCTCAAGCTAATCGATCTCAGCAACAACGAATTCGACGGTGAAATTTCAGCCAATTGGGGCAACTGTCCACAGCTCACCACGTTCAAAATTGCAGGGAACAATGTCACCGGCGTGATCCCGCCGGAGCTCGGAAAGGCAACTCGCTTGCAAGCCCTCGATCTCTCCTCGAACAACTTAGTCGGCGGAATTCCGGTCGAGATCGTCGATTCCCTTCCCCTAACGACGCTGATTCTTTCCGGGAACCAGCTCTCCGGCTCCGTACCTCCGGAGATCGGAACAATGCCCGGTATCCGGTATCTCGACCTGTCATCGAACAGACTCGGTGACGAAATCCCCATGGAAACAGGGAAACTGGTAAATCTGTTCTACTTGAATTTGAGCAGGAACGAATTCGGCGGGAAAATCCCTGCTGATATTGGGGATCTGGAGCACCTGTCGCAGCTAGACTTCAGCCACAATTCGTTTTCCGGAGAGATCCCTCGGGAATTCTCCAAACTCGTGGACTTAGAAGATCTCAACCTCTCCGGCAACCAGCTGACCGGAGAAATCCCGGCGACTCTAATCGAACTCCATGCGCTGAAAAACGTCGATCTATCAAACAACAATCTCCATGGACCAGTTCCTGATAGCGTTGTTTTCGAAGAAGCCAAGCTTGGAGGGAACGAAGGACTCTGCCGCAGCCATGGAGCTCCCACTTCCCTCCCGCGGTGCAGGACTAGCTCTCGAACGAAGAGGATCAAGATTCTCCTCATCGCCTTGCTCCCGGCGCTAGGAGTAGCTGTGATTTGCTGCGGCGCGGCGATGTGGAAGCGCGGAACAGGGGAGGGACGAAAACAGGGGAAAACAGAGGAGGATTCCTCGATGCTGTTGTTGTTCGCTTCGATCGCCGACGGGAAGCTGTTCTACGAGGAAATCATCAAAGCCACGGGGAATTTCAGCGAGGAGCACTGTATCGGAGAAGGCCGGTTCGGGACCGTCTACAAGGCGGAGCTGTCTTCGGGAACCACCGTCGCCGTGAAGAAATTCAAGTTCCTCCAGCACGAAACCGGCGGAGAAAGAAGCGAGCTTGACGGCGGTGATCGGAAGGAATTCCGCAACGAGATCGACGCGTTGAAGGAGATCAGGCACCGCAACATCGTGAAGTTCCATGGCTTCTGCGCCCACCCTCGCCACTCGTTCCTCGTCTACGAGTACGTCCAGAGAGGCAGCCTGGCGTCGGTCCTGAGCCACGACGGAGCCGCCATGGAATTCGATTGGAAGAAGCGTTACAACGTCGTAAGAGGTGTGGCCGATGCCTTGGCTTACATCCACCATGAGTGCACCCCTCCGATCGTCCACAGAGACCTGTCGAGCAGCAACGTGCTTCTCGATTCGGAGTACGAAGCCCACGTCTCCGATTTCGGGACGGCCAAGCTTCTGAAATTGGATTCCTCGAATTGGACCGCGGTTGCAGGAACCTATGGTTATATCGCACCAGGTATGTATGTATGTATGTATATAGGACTATGATATCATCTCGATTTGACTACACGACGATGTTAGACGGCCTGGTAATAATAACTCGTGTTGTTGGCAGAGTTTGCGTACACGCAGAAAGTGACGGAGAAGAGCGATGTGTACAGTTTTGGAGTGGTCGTGCTGGAGGTGATAAAAGGGAGTCATCCGAACGAGTTGTTCGATGCGATCTCGATGAAGACGGAGATTGAGATGAACGAGATGCTGGATCCACGACTATTGCCTCCCCCGCCGCAGGTCGAGGATAAATTGAAGTTCGCCATCAGCATGGCTTTCTTGTGTTTAAACGAAGATCCAAATGAGAGGCCAGATATGAGGATGCTTTCTCTCGAGTTTGCTAAACAAAGCTAAATTATTGTGCTTTTAAGGTTTGCTATTTCGTTCGGTTACGAGTTAATTTGTAATTGGTATTATCGGTCAACCGTTAACCAAAAAGAGAGGTTCTGACAGTAAAAGTGTTTAAGGTTATTGGTTACTCGGCAACCGCTAGTTCGGTGCGATTTATTTTATTGATTGTTCGATAAATCGGTAACACGTCGTTGGATTGATAACTAATGAAATTTGAAGGCCGAGTCACTGCATCAATTTTAACTATCACCGATACTAATTTGATTTCCAATACGATCCTCGCCATTCCATCCCGTGATTTCCAAAACGGGCCTGTCCTAGATTGGGCTTCCCGTGATATTTTCGGCCTGCAAATGACTTTCTGGGTTCTTGATCCAGAAAGAGAGTATAGAAATGCTTCTCGAGTCTTGACTCTTGAGTCTTGACCCATTCGTCAAAGATAGATCAGTCTTTCGACCCACACGGAAGTAACTAGCTTGTGCAAGACGACGATCCCCGTCTGCAACGCACACCAACTGTTCGACGAAATTCCCATTAGAGTCTCGCTCAACCCAACCCGACCTGAAACGCTGACACCATGATCCCCAAGCAAATTCGGCCATTGGTGACCACCGCCGCTTTCGTCTTCGGCGGATTGGTGGCTGTTAACGTCGCTTCCACCCTCACCGTCAACGCTCTCCGCCACGCCACCGAACTCAAGCGGGTAAAAAAAACCGAACAACTTCAACATAACAACTTCGTTCCCACAGCCCTTTTGATGCTGTGCCATTTTCAAATTCTGAGATATGGGTTTTGTATTTTCGGTCGTCACCCTCCAGAAAAAAGTTGCTTTGCCATGTGGGGTTTGCCGGGGGAAAGGGTTCTACATCTGCAAACTGTGCGGCGGAAATGCCACCATAGAATGGTCGCCTCTGTTCGACCCTGTCGCCATGAATCCTTGCCTCTGCCCTACCTGCGACGGCAACAGGTCAGTCATTCAACCGCCAACCAAATTTTTAGATCGACCCTTTTTCAATGCGATGCAATTAAAAGGCAGAATTGTACTCTGTGTTGCTTGCAGAGTCCAGCGATGCTTGAACTGTCTTGGTAAGGGCTACAGTTGATAAGGTTAGGAACAGAAGTGGTTTTCTGTGGCTTTGAAGTGGGTAGTACATGTATTGGTGAGATTGGTAATGGGGGAAGTGGGATTTGATTGGCAGATCTAATCAGTGTCATTGTCAATCATTCCATGGTGTTTATGCAAACTTGTAGCTGCTACAAATCAACCAACCATCATAGAGTTAATGATTTGGGGTCCTGCTGGAATCCTCGACTATTTGTACTTATTCAATCATGTGAATTTATTGTCAAAAAAGGGGGTGGCAATGATCATAAGCCAGATGACAAAACTGACGAATGAGGGAATTCATTTCCTTGTTTTCATAATCCAGCTTCAGCAATCATGTGACTATGTCTACTGTCCACCACTAGTTTCTATGTTGTGTAAAGTAGCACCTGCAATATTAATCTCGTTAGCATGTTGATGGGTTTGGACTTTGGAGTGGGGGAGTTGACGTTTTTCGGATTATGTAACCTGTAATGCAAGTCGTAAGATGTTCACGTCAACTGTTTTACAAAAATATCACTTGAGTGCATTCAAGAATGAAAAACACGGAATTCTGCTATCCATTGGTTCCAACCTCGCTAATCCCAACCCGATTCGTCTCTCTGCCATTTTGGTAGTGAACAATCTCATCCATTGCACATTGGTGTCGAGCTTATTTATCAAAATATCGTCACATGTATAAAACAACTGATTCTGTAGAATTGTACATTCGACGATGTTGGATCGTCAGATGAATTTGTCAACCATGTGAAAGCAATGACAAAGGCAATGTACTTGGCAAACTATTTGGAGGAGCCAATCATCAAAACCACCATATAAAGCCTCCTACCCTACAACGGCTCATCATCACTTCACAGCACAAACAACACACCAGCACCAGAACACACTCACACTCTCTCTCTCTCTCTCTCTCTCTCTCTGTCATTGTCCCACCTCCGCCATTGACAGAAATAGCACATGAAGGGCACATTCCCTCTTCATGATTTGTGCCTACGCGACACCTCCAAGGTGTGCTCCATGTTGTATGGAATGAAGTTAACAACCTCCACCATAATTTTTACACGTGACTTCCACGATAGGACTCCGTCCTTCTTTTGGGCTGTTGTTGTTCTTCTCCTTGCTCTGTTTTTTCCGTTTCATTCATCTCGAGTTGTCTCTTTCCCTCCATAAAGATTGCATCTTTCTAGGTTTTCTGGCATTGGGTAAAGCTATCATTTACTTCTTCTTATCAAATATTCCTTCGAGGCGCTAAGGGATATCCATATCCTAACGACCTAACCCCTAGTTGACTTTAGGGACGTGGGGAGCCAGCAAAATATGTGCCGATTATGTGGCATGGCCGGCTCAGTACTCCACGCCCTTTAAGGCTTTAAGTAACTACGAGGCCGGCAGTTACTCTGTTCCAACTAAGTCAAGGCATCAGTTAAAGGAGGGAAAAAGGTATTGGACTTTGTTCTCCTAACCTTTTTGTGAAACAGCAAAATTTGACCGGCTGATCATCTAGTGGGTATAATAAAGTTGGGAAATGAATTTTAGCCTCAAACCGTCGGATCGTGACCAGCGGCGAATTCAGGACTGGATAGAGCACTGGATCACATTTTGAAAAGAGACATAGTGGATTGAGCTGTAGCTTGACAAACACTTAGAGGATTACCGAGAATAAAAAAAAATTACTAGTGCTATACTAGCTTTGATCCAGAGGAGGGTTGGGCCGCAGCCCGGTGGCGCCCCCCCTGGATCCGCCGCTGATCGTGACCTAAACAAAGAATATACGGTATGAACCAGGTTGGGAGTTGGATGGCTTTCGATGTGATCGAGCCAAAGACATACTTGTTTCGCCTTACTTTGATATTGTCGAATTCTTACTCGTTTGTAACAAAGAGTCGATAAAGTTTAATTCAGATGATTAAGATGCTGAATTCATTCTAGTGAGATTTTCATATCGAATTCACTTGAATTGATCAAAATTTCACTTGAATGCACTCGTTGGCTTTTATAAAATGAATGTTTAGACAATTTATTAATAAAGAAGTAATGTCATAGACTTGCCTTAGAACATCAATCATCTTAAACTACTATTACATTCTTGAGTATTGATGATGGTTTCAACTCTAGGTATTCACCAAAAGGAAAGACTTGTATTGGTCAGTTTTGACTTCTTATTGTATTAGTTGTTCTCCAATCACCATCCGTCTGAACTCTGAACCTATTCTTCGCATGGAGTTTGATTGTCAAACAAACATGATGAGAAACCCATCTCGTGGTTGGACTTTTTGAGTTCATTTTGCAAACCCTAGAATGCAACTTTACAGAGGTGCAAATCATGCTATGGGTAGGTGCCAGGCATCCTACCTTCCTTTCATGCATAGAAGAAAGTACAAGTCGAAATTTGTACGTCGTGTTTGTGACATCGTATCGGTTTGTTCTTATGTGTTGAATCACGCGTGTCTAACATGCTACCTTCCTAGTTCTTTCAATGTCTAAAATAATGTACATTTTGAAATTTGTACAACCTATTGACAACCGATTAATTGTTTCCTTCATCGTAGTACGTAACAGCTTTTAAGCAAGTTTCGATGATGCATTACTAGCATTAGTATCGTAATCTGAACAGTTAGTCTCAATTGTTCAATCCTTGCTTCGATTTTGCCATCTCATGTCAACCAATTGTAGTTACTTACTCACTTACTTTGGATACATATTCTCTTCACTCGATCAATTTCAAATGAAAATAACAAATCGAAAATTAGAAACCTGTAAGATAATGAAAAGTAACAAACAATCTGACTTCTCAATCGAATCGAAAGGAAGCAAACACAGGCAAATCTTTCACTACATCCTATTCCAATCCCTGATAGTAATAGCAAGCCCTAACCCTCCTCTTTCTTTCCTTCCTTTATGTTGAGTTTGAATCTATACATGGATTGTCAATCATGTGAACCAATCACAAAAATCCCAGCAAAACAGAGTATAATCCCAGCAAAACAGAGTATCACACCAAATCTACACCAATCCCTCTCTTCCAAACCTCTTCTTCCCCTCCTCCTCCCACACAATCGCCGACGCCACATCCGCCTTCATCCTCTCCACGATTTCCCCCGCCGACGGCCGCTCGCTCACCGCCAGCCCAACACATCTCCTCGCGATCTCGAACATGGCCTCCACTTCCCCCGAATCAAACTCGCCTCCCAATTTCGGATCCACCAATCCCGCCAAATCCGCCGCAAATTCATCCCCGCGCTCCCTAATTACCGCCGCCAGAACCTTCCCTTTCTCCTCGGAGAACGCCTCCCGCCCCGTCAGAAGCTCCAAGACGATGACCCCAAAGCTGTAGATGTCGTTCTTCTTGGAAGCCAAACCAGTACGGAGATAATGCGGGTCAGAGTAACCCAGCGAGCCCATCATCACCATTTTCTTCCTCCTCTGCCCTCCGCCCACCGCCGCCACGGCGGAGGAGAATCCCATTTTCGCCGACCCGAAATCGCAAAGCTTGCAGCTTTCGTCGGCGTCGAGCAGGACGTTGGACGCCTTGATGTCGCCGTGGACGATTGGGATGTCACCGACGTTGGAGTGGAGGTAATCGATTGCTTCGGCGAGTTGGTACGCAATCGCCATCCTTCTGCTCCACGGGAGCGGCCGGCGCCGGCCGCTCCCGTGGAGCCTCTCTTGCAAAGTTCCGTTCGGTACGTACTCCATCACCAGCGCGCCACCTAAAAAAACCATAAAAGGGTTTCACTTTCAGTCAGTTTGCGTGAAAATTGAGAAACCCCCTTATACGAAATTCAGAAAAAGGACGGACCTTTATCGTCGGAGTAGCCCAGAAGCTTGACGATGCGCCGGTGGTGAAGGCGGAGGAGGATGTCGAGCTCCTGATTGAACAGCGGGCTGAGATAGTCCCCGGAACAGCTCACTTTCACCGCCGCTGGACCACCAGCCAAATAAACGTTGCTGAACCCGCCGGATCCGATCAAACACGCGAAATTCCGGGTCAGCCTCTCGATTTCGTCCCAGCTGTACCTCGCCGGAGAACAATCATCGTAATCACCCCTTCCTTTCCCGTCCTTCTCTCCCCCGCAGCAGGATTCGTCGGAAACCGCCGCAATCCGATCCCCATTGGGCTTCCCCCGTCGGCGACGGGTGATTAGGAAATTGGGTATACATCCAAACGCCATGGGAAGGAGAGAAAAAAAACAGAGGAGTTAAAAAACAGAGGAGTGAAGAACAGAGTACAGAGAAACAGAGAGAAAGATGCAGGCTTTGAAGGGGTAAGTGAGAAGCAAATGGTTTATAAGGGAAGGGGAGTGGGAAAAAGCTGTCGGTGGGCAATCGGCGGTAGGAGAAGGGGACAAAGGGGTGATAAAGGAGGAAAATGCAGAGAGCGGAAAGGAAGGGACGAAGAAGAAAGTGGAGACTTCAGAGAGGGAAACAGAGTAAGTAGAAGGAGAAATGGAACAAAAAGAGAGAAAAGACGGGCCAACCAACAGACCCTGGGGCCCTTTCTCTGTAGGGTAAGGTGCCCTGCGGTGGCCGAATTATAGGACACGAGTGGGTTTCTTTAATAGTTTTCTGGAAATGAAAACAAAGAGAATGGTGGAGGGAAAAGGACTGTGGAATAAAGAAAGGAGGAAGGAGATGAACCATGGAAAGCAAGCAAAGGAGGGAGGGAGGAAGCACTCAGAAGTCAGATTATAAGATAAGTACTTCTCTGCTACCACCCGGCATTCGGATTTAGACCTTTGATTTTGGGGTTTATTTAAATTTGATTTGATTTTGTTAGGATTAGGAGGGGTGTATCCTTCACACGGTCACCACCAAACATATTTTCTAATAATTGATTAATGTGAGCCTTGATTGAAATCAATATCACACATCGGGCTGATTTGATTAGAGCTTGACAATGAGATAAATTATCGTTAGGGTGATCGAAAAGTGAAAAGTTCATTCCTTGTAAGGTCGGAGAATCATGCTGATTGGTTAATTAATCAAGATGAAGCGAATGCGTTGTCTCAAAGAGAGAGAGAGTAAAGGGGGAGGAAAAGGAGGGGAGAATGATTTGTTTTGTGATCGAAAGATGACGTATTTGATTGCGTGAAGGAAAGAATCTTGCAGGGTTTTTTTTTTGTTATTCTTCGTCTGTATTTATTGTTGAGATATGGATTTTGTTGTGTGTTCGTGGAAAATATTTACCTGGGAAATGTGATTGTTTTGACTATTGAGTAGTTATTTATGACAATGTGGGAGGCATAAAGGGAGTGGATGAAAATGTATAAGTTATATACTTTCTTTTACAGCAAGCTAAAGGATTTGATTACGTAAACAGAAACTTGAACGCATCAAGTTATTGTCTTACTATGTTTACTGCATAGGCATTCTTCCTATGATTCTCATTTTGGTGGAAATGATTTGTTGGATTGGAAGTAAGTTGATATCACAGAATATATATTATCGGATTTGAAAGAATGGCTAAACGTAAAAGTTTTGTATTCCATATATATAATCGCACTTGATTGGGATTAATAATAACGATGCGGACAATGAGTGGGAGATAGGAGGGGACGAAAAAGGTAGGGGATGAAATATTTTGTGATCGAAAATCGACATATTTGGTTGCGTGAAGGAATAATGTTACGTTTTTGGATTAGTCTTTATTAGTATTAATTATCTTCAAATTGAATTTTGCTACGCACTCGTGGGAAATGTTTCTTCTAGAAACTATGATGGCGTTGAGCAGTTAATTAGAATGATGCGGATAAGCGAAAGGTAAGAGTAAAAAAGAGAGAAAAAAGTAAAAGTAATGTATTTCGTGATCACAAGCTATCATGTTTGTTTACATATATAACGAGAAATTAATCGAATCAAGTCATTATTTTGCCGAATTTATTACATGTTGATTCTTCCCCTAATTTGGTTTTTTGTTTGTATTCGTGCAAAAGAAAATTTCCCACAAATGATTTGTCCTTTGGGTGTTTGGTAATCAATCACACAAGTTAATATCAGAGCATGTTTATCATTTAATTATGTGGAAGATTTTGTGCCTTTTAAAATTGTGGCCGTGTGGATTCTGTCTGTCGAGGAATTCGATGGGGCCCGCTGAGTGTGGGAGTGGGATTTTAATTTATGGCGGCCACGTTGGTTCGCGTTGAAAATGCTCTATAATTTTGAGGCCCAAAAAAGAAGAGAAAAGCAAATTTCGGCCCATGCTTGAAAAACGGGCCGGATTATAATGTCCGGGCTGAGAACGGACACAGTTTATGGCCCATTAGACAACATTAGATAGTAGTGCAAGTATGGGTAAGCCCGGATGGATGGTCATATCACGTTTGTAAAGCGGGGTAGGGGTAGTCATGTAGATTGTTGAACCGCGGGTCGAACCGAATCCATTGAAGAAAAATACGGCGTGAGTTATTTGGGTATGCCATAATTCGAAAATAATAGATTTCCTATTTACACGATTAAAGATAGATGAGTGGTGAGAAAAAAAAAGGAAAATATACGGATATTTACGGAGGAGACTCACAAGAAGAAGAAGAACGCTACGTTGCGTGGGAGATATGCGACTTAAGTAAATCTCATGATATGATAATCTCGAGCCAACCGAATTGAGACGCGATAACTCTCTCGACCTAGCCTATTTTTTTCACTCTCCTATTATGATAGGCGTCGATTTGCGATCCAATTCATTTGCGTTATATAATCAAATGAAATTGCTTTATCTTCATCTATTAATTATTGAGATAAAAAGTTCACGTGCACACGTTTGGGAAAGGTACCCAGAAAGTTAAAACATCCGCCCAAGGTTGTCAAACCGGTTTATGCCAGTGTGCCGGTTTAGCATGTGGAATGGTTCGACCGGTGGCACATACCGGTTTGTGCCGGTTCATGCCGGTCAATATTATAAATAAAATTATAAATACTCATATTGAAACATGACATTAACGTCAATACCTAAACATACTTGAATCCAACAAATAATATCAATATTTAACTTTTATACTCATAAAATAAATAATAAAATAATTTTTATCAATTAAATTCACTAAAATAAGGTTATTTTACTTGGAGATTCGTATATCGATCATGCCGGTCATACCGGTGGTGTCACGCCGGTTTTATGACCGGAAGCGGTTGAACCAGGTACAACCGGTGGCACGCCGGCTGGCGTGACAACCATGCATCCGCCAAATCAACCCACCCACTTTTATAAAATTTGAATTCCGATTTTTACCTTGTTACATAACATAATCAAAATTTGTTATGGCGGTAAAACATTTTTCTATTACGGTGCCGCCCCGAAACGGCGCCGACTCTGCCCAAATTAAATTTGAAACGCCACCTAATTTATTATTTTTTCTCAAAAATATAAATCCGCGAAGGTCCTTTTCTCCACGTCAGCTCAGGTGGGCCCACTACATTCGTGTCACCGCCTGCGTTCATATAAATCTCGTTCATATAAATCTCCCTTTCTCTCTCTTCCATTCGTCCCCCGGAAATTTTCTCCGAGAGAGAGAGGAGCTGAAAGGGAGCCCTAGGAAAGGCAGCTCTGCAAGCCGAATCCGGCGGCTTTCAGCTCACTTTTCCCCGGCGACTACTATCAGATTTCTACGGTTCTCGCCGATCTTCGCTTCTTCTGACTATCCGAATTACTTTGAAGGACTTGGCTTTTCTTTTTCTCTTTTCATTTTGGTTTAGTCTTTTCTTCGCCGGGTGTAATTTGTGTTGATTAGGGGAGAGGGAGAATTAAGGATTTTAATTTGGCTGGTTTCAGCTGAATTCAAATTCTGGAAGGCTGTTATTAGGTAAAAAAATTATCGAATGGATTTGGGTCGTCGTCTCTGTTGCCGTCGATTTTGGCTGGGATCTGTTGTTCATACTGCTTTCTATTCAACCTGTTTCGTCTGATTTTGGTTGTGGGGTTCGATTTGCTCATGTGTGTGTGGGGGAGTTGTGGGTTCCATGGCTGGATGAAGCTCTGATTTTGCTTTCCTGTGTTTGAGTCGGTTTAGGGTTTGATGATGAAGGGGTGAAGAAATGAAAGCTATTGGGGAGCTAGTGGTAGTGTTTAGAATGGATTGTGATGAGGGTTTTTTCCAGTTTTGGATTGCAATTTGGCGCCGCGCTTTGGCTCTACTGTGTTTTCGCTGTTGATTGTGGTATTGTAGTAGGAGGTTAAGCCGTAGGGGTGCCTATGTTTTATCGCTGTAAAATTTTTATGGAAATGATTGGTGAAGAATGGAAGATTTGGGGTTTGTATATGAGGTGTAGTGGTACTAGTCGTATGAGTGAATTGAGTTTCCGTTTGTTCGTTAGGAAGTATGGTCATTGATATTGAACATTTGGGGTGTCTCTTGGTACTTCGGTGCTACTATGTCTTGCTGCCAGCGGCTTTATGGATGGGTTGTTAGCTTCCAGTTTGCCCTGCTTATGGATTGGATTGCTGATGTTTGGTTACTGTTGTTTCGGACCGAATATGTTTGCCTTGTTTTGTTTCTAAAACTTCTGTTTTCTATGCTGCTGCAGTTGAAGATCAGGTGTCTGGGTCCTTTTAGGGTTACATTTAGAATCAATCAGAAGTTTGAACGATGGCGAAGGATAGAAGAGATCGTTCTAGGTCATTTGATAGGTACAGAACATCCCCATACCCAAGCAGTTCCAAACGTCCCAAGCTCTCTTCACCCAAGGTGTCGTCATCAAAGCCAGATGAAAACATACAAGAATTTGAAGATGCCCGGTGCCCCGTTTGCATGGAGCATCCACACAACGCCATCCTCCTCATTTGCTCATCGCACGACAAAGGTTGTCGGCCGTACATGTGTGACACCAGTTATCGTCACTCGAACTGCTTTGATCAGTTCCGTAAATCGTTCAAGCAGCAGCCCTCAGCACCACCGCTTGAAGAGAGTAGTATTGGGGGCTCAACAGAGGTAGTAGTAGTCAATTCAGAATCAGCAACTGTTCCGAGCTCTGCTGGAAGTGGTAGTAGTAGCTGTGACAACAAGGTGCCACCTCAGCTGATGTGCCCCCTCTGCCGAGGCCACATCAAGACGTGGGTGGTACTGGAACCCGCTCGGAGCTTCATGAACTCGAAATCAAGAAGCTGTGCCAGCGAGGCCTGTGAATTCAGCGGCACGTATTCTGATTTGAGGAAGCACGCGAGGCACGAGCACCCCCTCGTCAGGCCGTCGGAGGCCGACCCCGAGAGGCAGCGGGATTGGAGACGGATGGAGCGCCAGAGGGATTTGGGGGACTTGCTGAGCATGCTACAGGCCTCGTTTGGTGAAGATAGGGTGGGGCTCGACGATGACAGCACCGACATAATGATGCCGCCCATTGAAGATGGCAGTTTCCTTACCTTCTACTTCCTCATTAGGGTTTTCAGACCGGGGGTCATAGTCAGTGGGTCAAGGAGTAGAGGGTCATCAAGTGCTGGAAGACGGTCGACTGCTACTAGTGCAGATCGTTGGGGGGAGCTTCGCAATGATGAAGAGACTGGATCTTCTTCCGGAGAAGAGGAGAACAACAACAATGATGACTCGGACGGAGCATCAGTACCCTCCAGGCAAAGCGAGCGGATTCGGAGGCAGCATAGTTCACCAGACTCTGATGGAGTGGCCCCGACTCTAAGGCAAAGCGAGCGGATTAGGAGGCAGCGAAGGACTCCAGACTCGTCGTGAATGCTGTTGTTTCTTTTAAGTCGGGATGTTCGAATTGTAAGTTCAAGCCCCGACCTTCTCCTCACTCTTTCACACGTTTGTGTAAATGACAAGAGAGCCTACAGCCCTAATCTCTTCCTGTTCTGCTTTTGCAGGTGGCAGAAGTTCCCTGTCCTCGCGCTCTTGGATTGCTTACAGACGGGGTTCGGGTTGGGAGGGGTGGGGTGGGGGTGTGAAACAAAAGTGTAATATGGAAACAGGGGCTTCTTGAATTCAATGAAGTGATTTGTGTTTTCATTCTCGCAAGCGCATTTGCTTCAGTTCATCAGCTGTGATTATCATGGAGAAGCTTGCATTTTGTTTCTGAGGTGATGATCCCATGGAAACAAAGCAGGTTGCTGCTATATGTTGGTGGATTCTGTAAATCAGTTGTGTCTTAGCTAACATGGGTTGGCTTGACTTGGGCTGACTATGGATTTCAAGTGAAACAATTTTGAGTAGCAATGGGAACACTCTTGCGATAGTACTTAGAAATCATCGATCTGTATGTATTTAATAATGCTATCATTTAAGACATTATACACCATTCCATCCGAACAAATACTTTATACATAAGATAAATTAAATGTTATTTATGCGACAAAAATTACGAGTTCTCACATTACATTTTACTACTGTGGTGGTTGACCAGTGTCACATTAGTGTGCACTGGATATAAATAAATATAGGTTATTCTTATTTGTTTGTTTAAGAAGGTGCTATAAGCAATAATTAAAAATTAATTGCACCTTGCAAGTTTGGCTAATGGCGATCGGGAAATAAAAATATTATTAAAGAGAGAAAAGCGCTGGACAAAAATAATGAATTTATTACAAAAAAAATTAATTTTATTTTGAGTGTATATATTCAGGTTAGTTCGTTGTTTGTTACTTTCCATTTTCACCTCCTTTCTGGCTGGACGGAGGTGGTGGTGACGGTGGATCTCTTTTCTCAGCACCTCGCTCTCGCTCTCGCTCGTCTTTTCTTCTTCCTCTTTGCTCCCATGGAGTGAACCGAACCTCCACATCGCACCAGCTTCCGATTTCTATTTGGGAGGGGCAAAAAGCTTTGCTTGCTCCCGCTGGCTCTGTAATTCGTATCTGTTGCAGCTTTCGCGAATGGGGTCTGAAACCATCTCGGGCTCCGAGAAGGAGAATTCGAACGATAGCGCTGAAACCCTCGTGACGCTGAATGTCTACGATCTCACCCCTGTCAACAATTACACCTACTGGTTCGGATTCGGGATTTTCCATTCCGGCATTGAAGGTCTGGCCTTCCCTTCTTTCCTTTCCTTTCCTTTTTCTGGGTTCTTGTTTTCGAGAGAGCTGCTTCTTGGGTTTAATTCCTCTTATGTGGAGGGTTTTGGGTTTTTGCCATGGTTGGATTTGTTTGAATAAGAATCTTTCAACTGCCTCCAATTCCAGATTTGATAATTTCTGCGTAGATGCTCTTGAAAATGGGAAGAATGCGATTGGATTCTAGGGGTATCTTTGAAGAATTTACCATGTCAAATTGTGTGGCCTGGTAATGGGGAGACGATCTTTTTGTGTGGAAATTTGAAGTCAGGGAAAGCTGTTAGCTTTAAGAAGTTGGATTTGATGATTCTTTCTTTCTCTTTTCACTGTTTGCAGCTTGTGGAGTGACTTCCTTTCACGGGAATAGCATAGCATCTTTGATTTAGACCACCTTTGTGATTCCTTTGATCATTCTTTGCTTCAGTTCTGTTAGCCTGCTTTCATTTTCAGTCGCTTAATGGTGTTTGACTTTCTGTTTCTAGCATAGGATTTCGACTAGAACATGAGAGTGCATTTATGGAAGAAGATGTTATGATCCTTGCATGAACTGTATGGAAGTTGGTGTAGATTTTGTCTGGAGATTCCTACAATTTGACAAATTGGCAAACTCTAACTATAACGTAACGTCTTTCTCTGAGTATTTTGATTCGAATCGCTTGCCCGATTTTGCATATATGTATTATGTTAACAGTTCACGGGAAGGAGTATGGATTTGGAGCTCATGACTTCCCAGTCAGTGGAGTTTTCGAAGTCGAGCCAAGAGAATGCCCCGGTTTCATTTACAGATGTTCCATCCCATTGGGGACCATAAAGATGCCGCCTACCGAGTTCAGGACATTCATAGAGGGTATGGCTTCCGAGTATCATGGAGACACGTATCACCTAATCTCCAAGAACTGCAACCATTTCACAGATGATCTAAGCTCCAGATTGACAGGAAAGAGAATCCCAGGTTTTGTAAATCGCCTCGCCCGCCTAGGTATGCAAAAGCTAATTATCATTGAGACATTCAATTACCATTCAGCAGTAGTTGTCTTGTATTGTGTTTGACATGAATTAGAAAAATGTTCTCATTTCTACGGTTGTGTGTTTTGAAATCCTGCAGGTTCTCTGTGCAGTTGTTTGCTTCCTGAAAGCCTTCAAGTAACTTCAGTGAAACCGCTACCTGAACACCATGACTTGGGTAAGTACTGCAGTTCCTTCCGACTTATATCTTTGATCTTACATCCATTTGTCATAATTTACTCTGAAACCTATGATGAAATTGCTTTAAATACAGAAGATGGAAGCGAGTCCGTGACAACTGGCACCCCACCCTGCGAACAAATGGAAATCGATGATACCGATCAAGAGAGGCACCTTTTGTCTCCCAGCAGTGGAGCTATAGAAGTGTTGTTTGTCAAAGAGAGAACTCCCACAGAAGAAGAAAAGCTGCCTCATTGAGGGTTGTATACAAAAGAAGGGAAATATGCCTCCTTTTTATCCTTTTCAAATTCACTGCTGCAGAATCCCCCAAGACACGAACTCATGCGTAGGATGCACAGATATAGGATCCTCAATTTGCTTGCTTTTTCCCTTGCCAATCCTGTATAAAGGCTGCAAGGAAGGAGAGCCTCACAAGTCACAAAACTTGGGTTAGTGCTTTTCTGTTGGCTTGCATTTTTTCTTTTGCTTCTGGTTTTTGTTGTACCATTGTTAGGTTTACCACTTGATTGTCATACGGCTTCCACTCCACTCTGGATTGTGCCACAGATTGCTGCTACAGACTTTCTGCTTTGATCTGTAATTGTATTCATGCCTTGTACTGGCACTTTCCTAGTTGGAGGAAATGAATTCTTGAAATTGATTCAGAAGTCAATGTGGTATTATCTTCATCAATGCAATTGTCTTGTTTGTAGGGTTAACAGAAACAACTAAATCTGGGGACCAACCTAATTCAATTGACGTGAAGTATTGGATATACGTATTTCGGTTAGCGGTTTGATGTTGATATGTTAGTAGATTTAATTTGTCTTAGTGAAGAACACTGATTCGATGTGCTCGTAAGTTGATGAAATGTAAGAACACGATGCTAGTTTTGGCTATACAATTGCAAATCTATAATGATACAGATGAATCCGACCTAACTTCGATCCAAAACAAGCGACTTCGAATCCGGTCAAAATATTGAACAGAATGGTCCATGCCATTCATACATGTTCTATTATACTCTATCCAAAAGAAAGTACACCAATCGATTCAATTGTACATTATGGTTGTCAAAATACCATAGAGAATATATGTATCCAAAAGTGGATAATAAATTACATCAAGCTCATGATTGTAAAGAGTGCAGAGTAACCCAAGTTTCTCATTGCTCACAATACACTAATAATGTGAACCACCAAAGGGTAGCCTTACATGTCTAGAACTTTTGGCTCCACTGGTTTGTTTCATCAGGTTGTTGACCCTCCCTCTTTCCAGCCTCTCATTTCCCATGTCACTTTAGTGATGAGGAGCTGGTGTCGAGCCCCAATTTGGACGATAGCCAGGCGCAGACCTCATCCATCTCTTGAGGGATTGTGTAGTGCCCAAGTCTGTATGATTCAAAGAAATCCAGAATCGTTAGTAAATGCTTCGGATGTTTGATTAGTGTTCTTCGGATTAATGCATCTGCAGCAAACATACCCACTGTACGATTTGAATGTTACGTCTTTGAATCCAAGCGAGCTCAACGCATGAGATGACTTCTCGCCGTATTTGTGAGAGACCACATCATCAGCTAGCAATGACCAAACAACAAAAATAAGCCAGTAGAACTCCAATCCCTGGCAAGTGAGACCGAACAGGCAATTCAGTAGTTACCTTTTCCATGACATAGCAAAATGGGCAGGGCTGCTGCACGGTCAGCTGCTCCATCCACTCCTTCGAGTTCTTTACCCCATCTCCTGAAATATAAGAACAAAATGTAATCAGAAAAGAATTTGACATAGAACAGAAAAATAATGAGAGAGGAGCCAAGCAGAAGAAGCCGAACTTTGCACAAGGAAGCCAGCCGCTTAATCCAACAACTGCACTCAAATTAGCTGTAAACGGGTTGCCATTTGCATACTTCCCCACCGAGAAGCAGGCCCCAGAGTATAGCGCAGTCGCTGCACCCATACTAAAGCCTCCGATGCCTACTTTAACTGTATAAAGCATAACAGAGAATGCATATAAATTTCATGGTAATAGCGAAGATGAAAAAAGTCACTGCAAGATGACACCTACTATCAGCAGGCTCTGTTGACAATAAGTTAGCGACATGTGTTGCAGCAGCATCTAGGCCCTCCAAGTCATACGGCGCATCCTCCGAAAGTTCCTCAACATCAAACCCTAATTTCATCAAGCCCATGTTCAGTTCGTTTCAAATAAGCACGATAAGACATAACCATACAGGAGAACTTTAGTTTGCGGTAATTTCAGGTGAACTGGTTAAATGAGTCTATTAGGCAACCAAAACTCACATGCTGTAGATGGGAAACCACCAAATAGAGTTACAGGTCGAGTTGGAGCGGTTGGACATACCCATTTAATCTGTGTACACAAGACCAATTAACCGAGGACAGACAACTTAAAACTGAGGTCACTTCTCTTAAAGGAATTATTCTTACATTTGGAAGAGGGATGGTTTCCAAGAGCTGGGACCAACTGCAAACCAAACAAGACAACACAAAAAAAAAAAAAAAAAAAAAATCAATACTTGACAAAGAAGGTGAAACAGGAAGTTGTATGTATTCATTGAAAAGAAGAATAAAAATGCTAACTAGTCTGCACTTTTTCGTATCTTCTAAAAATGTTTGGAGTTACTATAACAAACGCTAGATTACAGCTCCGCAGCAAGTAGGAAAAAAAGAGATTGGTTAGAAATACAACCCACCTTAAATGATATTGCAAAAATGCACAACGAGCACAGTATTAAATGGTCAAACATCATGCAAAATTTTCATCAGGGATCTGGTGAAGAAACGATACACAAGAACATTGGTGCAAGTTCACAGAGGTAAAGGGGAGAAAGCAAACTTCCAGATATATCTCCTGAAGCACAGACCTCCCTAATCTGTCTCTCGGTACCCGAATACCACCATACCAAACTTGTTCATGAGTACTGCCTAAGTAAAAGACTAAAAGGCATTAGTAAAGGGAAAACTGAGATTTACCTTGAGCCATTATCACCAAGGCCATGCAGCCAAACCACAGTAGCTTGGTGCTTGCCTTTGGGCTTAACCACAACCGTCTTCCCGAAATCAAACACTTTACTAGCAGTCTTACCACCTGTAACCAACCCAATGACATTAAGCTGGTTACCAAACTACCCATATTCAAGAAAGAGCAGCCAATCCAGGCATGGCAACAGTACAAAATCCAAGGAAGGAACTAATTTGATTTCAGTAGCTCGGTCAACGGAACCAACATGCAAGAGAAAAGCCCACTGGGAACCCATGAAAACTCACCAGAAGCCATTGAAGGACCCGTGAAGCTCATGTTGGACAGCAACAGAACCGACCCAATAATCCCAAAACCTACAAACGAAGAAGGCAGCGGGGGGGAGGAATGGCCAAAACCCCGTCAAAAAATCAAACGGTAGAAATGGAAGTTTGGATATACATAGTGGAAACAAGATTTCATCTTTAGGAAACCTAAACCAATTCGAGCCTCCATCGATTCCATCTCCTTCCCCCACATTGCCATACCCGAATCTCGAAAACCCACATCCCAGGCATAAACGCATAAAACGGACCGGAGATGAGAAGATCCACAGCTCCGAAATTCAACACAACGAGAGGTTCCCGACTAGTTCGTCAGATCATCGGCTTAACTCTGTTTAAGAGAAAAATATCTAGAGTCGGCGGAGGAACGAACCTTTTTAACGGAGTGCAACCGCCTCGAATCCGGTACGACGCAGCAGCTTCACAGGGAGCAGGAGCCAAAGAGAGAAGCTCTCTTTCTTCCGCACTGGGGAAGAAAACAAACCAAAAAAACTGCAACTTTTTCGGATGACGTAAATCTCAATACTCGGCGTCGTTTTGTACCTACCTAGCCTGCCGTTGTGTCCGGGTCTCGGTTTTTTCTCGCTCGGGCGGGAGGTCGGACCCGTTGGTTCACCCACAGGCACATTACTTTGATCATTCCTATTGGAAGGATACAAATTACAAAGTTAGTTACCTGAGCAAAACAGTTTCCTTCATAGTCTCCAAAAATTTAAAGAATCACGATCAACAACAACCGAAAACGACACCCGACCAATGCTTTGGTCGGTGTGAGAGGAAGCTCACAAGCAAACCAGAGGAAGACAGAGGAAGACCGATGAATATGCTCAAAAAAATAAGCACACCAACAAAGAGAATAACCCCCCGACATCGAAACTCCATTAGAGGAGGTCAAGGCGGGGCAAATTTTCATATCCTTATAAGAGCAAGGCCAAACCAGACCTAGAAGCCTAGATCAGACACTGTGGATGAAACCACTTTGGAGAAAAGAAAAGACAACATAGATGTGAAAATGCTAGAAATAACTGGAAAAAAAATATACATAAAACGCAAGAAAAGTACAAGGTTGAGCTAACCACCGGTTACTAGAAGGAGTTGGTGGCTGCCTTGTGAAGAAGACGAAAGGTGAAGAGTTTTTTAGAGATAAGGGAGAGCACAACTTTTCAAAACAAAGTAAGAGAGGAGTGGTTCACGAACCCTTTTTAACATCATAGTTGTTGTTGTTGTTGCGAATTTTATTCCTCGAAATGGATAACCAAAAAAAAAATGTTAAACGACCTCATCAAACAAACAGAGAGTAAACTAAAATTTTTAGCTTAGAGGATAAACCGGACATACTAAAATGATGATCGAACAAATCGAATGATTCTATCCCTCAAACCCCTCCAACGAAGATAGTGAGGTCCCTCAAGATGGGTTAAGGGCAAAGAATACATGAATTAGAGAATAATGGGTAATTTCGACATGTCATAGGAAAAGACAACAAATCACATAACATATATAAATGTAAACCTCCATCCAATTGTTAAGGTAAACTTCAAAAACTTGTATTCTAAATTATTAATCTTAGCTGTCAAGACTTGCTCGAATAACCATAATTTTTTCGGGAAACCGGAGAAAATATAAAAACTCATACTCAAGATTATGTTATCCTCTTAGCAACCATATATGTTAGTTAACTATCAATAGAACAAAATTTAATTACACACAATTGTAAGAAATGAGTGATGGAAATCACCCACAAGTGTAAAGTTTGATCCCCTTGGAGAATTAAATTTTAGCATCTAAAATAAAACGGATGATACCATTCAAAATCATAGTATCACCAAAAAAAGGATCATAGCATTGTCTTGTGAAACCAATTTCGGGTACCCGGGTCAACCGAATCAATCGGCTAGGCCGGTTCCAACATGACCTACTACAAATACGAAACAAACGCAAACGTCGGCCTGCCGCCTTCAAAGAGAAGGAACACACGAAAACGAAACTAAAGCTTACCGACATGGGGAGCAGGCAAAACGGCGGAGCTAGCGACCGCGCAGCCTTGGGGAATGGCGGAGCACCGCCGGTGGTTGACAAGGAGGTGGATTTCGCCAATTACTTCTGCACATATGCCTTCCTCTACCACCAGAAAGAGATGCTCTCCGATCGGGTTCGCATGAACGCTTACTACGACTCCATTTTCCGGAACAAACACCACTTCAATGGAAAAGTAACCAACTTTGCTCACCCCACCTGCTCTGTTACAGCTTTCCCCCCCAATTGTTGACTCATTGTAAGCTCTTAACGGGTCGGAGCTCCGGGATTGTCGTCCCCGGAGTCCAAAGCTAGTATCTTTGGGTTTGACTTCATTGAGGGTTTTAGCCTTCTAGTCTTTTAGTTGAACCAGGAGTGATTGCTTAAGGCTTATTTGACTTGTGACTGAATATTGGCTGCAACTAGTGGGAACCCGGGAGATTTTGTTCTTACAAGTAAAGGAATTAGGGTGGGTTCAAGTTTCTGATTGATTTAAGGCGTGGGAATTAACTGGTTTTTTGGTTCTTTGAAGTTAGGGTATTTGTTCCTATGAGATTATGGTTAGCTTATGCTCAGGACTGATGATGTTGGTGATTGTAGACAGTACTGGATGTTGGAACTGGCAGTGGCATTCTTGCAATCTGGTCAGCACAAGCAGGTGCAAAGAAGGTCTATGCAGTTGAAGCGACCAAGATGTCGGAGCATGCACGTGCATTAGTTAAATCGAACAATGTCGAGAATGTGGTTGAAGTGATCGAGGGTTCTATGGAGGATGTTGTCCTGCCAGAGAAAGGTTTTCATTTTGATTTAGTTTTGTAGTTGGCGGTTTGTTCTCATGGGTCATTTTCCTATAGTTTAGTTGTCTGATTTTGATTTTTGGGACTTTTGATGATGACAGTTGATGTAATTATCTCGGAGTGGATGGGTTACTTACTTCTGCGAGAGTCGATGTTTGACTCGGTAATATGTGCTCGTGACCGCTGGCTGAAGCCTAATGGAGTCATGTAAGTAGTTCAATGCCTGAACTTAATATTAAGATAAACTAATATGCTTTGCCTTTTCTACTTCGAGGTCAAAGGTCTTAGCTTGCTTCTGTTTTGCTGATACTATCCCTTAATGCGGCAGGTATCCTAGCCATGCTCGGATTTGGTTTGCACCTATAAGATCTGGATTGGTGGAGCGTAAAGAGAACGATTTGGAAGAAGTAATGGATGATTGGTATAATTTCGTTGAAGACACAAAGGATACCTACGGGGTTGATATGGGTGTTTTGACTCAACCTTTCTCCGCAGAGCAGAGGAGATATTATCTACAGGTTGGCTCTAGAAATAAACGTCCTTGAGCATAGGTTTTGATAAGTTATTTTGGCATTGCTAATACATGAGTCAGTGAATGAAATCTTCTTATTTCTCTTTCCCCTAATTTTTGTTGGTCAAAGAGTATGAATTTTTAAGAAAGGTAGATAAGATGGAAACGAACCTCAGAGGCAAAATGATACTACAATGTTGAGACATGTGAATTAGTGAACTCATTTGCCAAGATTTGTTTCTTATTGCTAGGCTTCTTGATTACCTTCATGATTTTCGCATATTAGGGTTGTGTTGTTTTTCTCTTTTCATTTATTATATCTGTCTGCACGAACAAAAAGGTAGCCTTCTTTCTGCATGCAAAATGATCCGTCATCCTTGCTCTTTTAAATATGCTCATTATCTGAAAAGACCTGGTATTCAAATTCCTGTAGACATCCTTGTGGCAAAACCTTCATCCAAATCAAATTATCGGGACGGCTGCTATTATCAAGGAGATTGATTGTCTAACCGCCACTGTAAATGACATCAGTGAGGTCAGGTCCAACTTTTCTTCTTCGATCACCATGGAAAATACAAGCCTCTGTGGATTTGGTGGATGGTTTGATGTCCATTTTCGAGTAAGTTGAGAAACAGATTTACTAGTTTTTAGCTCGAAAGTGTCTTCAGTTTTTCCTACCCCTTCTTCTTCCAATCAGCAGAACATGATACTGTTTCCCTATGGTACCAGGGAAGAAAGGATAACCCGGCTCAGCAAGAAATTGAGTTGACAACAGCTCCTAGTAAAGATGCCGGCACCCACTGGGGCCAGCAGGTCTGTACTAAACCAGAACTACTCGTTCAAGGAGGCAAACTTTTCCCTTTATTTATTGATTGATTACTTGTTCAATGTATTGAATTGTTCTTCTAAAGTTCACGTCTTTGCTGATTGTATTAGGTCTTCCTCATACACCCTCCTAGTTGTGTCACTGAAGGCGATAACGTAAGTGTAGAATTCCTAATGTACCGGTCAAAGGAAAACCACAGATTAATGGAGGTAGAGCTCGGCTGCGAAGTCAGGCAGTCTTCTGGTAATCTGCTTCCAGCATTTAAAAGTAAATTCCACGTGGAGTGATCCAGCCACGGGGTCGTCTGCTTCCAGCATCAGTAAGGTGCATAATGAATTTGATTGGTTTGTTTCTTGGAACTCCATCTCACACTTGGATCTGTGTGTATTCGATGGACTACGTTTCACCTTCATCAACCTTCTTCAGTACTTCCTCCCCTTTGCTTTAATTGCTTCACTGTTTTTTTTCTGATTCTTGCTTACTCTTGACTTAGAATTTCGTTTCCTTCACTTTTCAGCGTTCTGCCGTGGATGAACAAAGACCCTGCAGGACCCCGGATAATGAATGTAACTGTAAAATTTCAAAGCAGAGTTTGGTTTGTTTCTAAAAGAACACTTTCTTGACTGCCATGTGCATTTTAGGTGCTCTGATTCCTGGTTAAGATCTTGTAAACTTCACCAGATTTGGTTTAGCGGTGGTCTCTGTACTATGTACATCGAACATCCAAAGATGGGATTATGGTTGTTAGGCTGTTTCGCAAGTAAACATCGATTTATCCTTACCACCATATTGAATTCAGCTTCAGGGCATATCTCACTTGTTATTTACACTTGCTTTTATGCCTTCATGGTTGAGACCTTCATTTTCCTTTCTCCATGTTTCTTTATTCCCAAGTCAACTTCAAAATCTGCAGAACTCAGTAATGTGCATCTTGCTCAAGTGGGTGTTGGGTTTTGACTTTCATATCCGTGGAAGAAGCATGATATCTTGTTTGTGGCAAAAGTTCTCCCGCCTTTCTGTAGCTTAAGCACATGCATGGCTTTAATTACTCCGCAAGTTAAAGCTGGCTGCTTCTGGTTGTTGACCAAAAGGGCTTTAAAACAAAATGCATATTTCCAGCTCTCTGGATCTCATTATCAACTCAGCTTTTCACTCCCTTTATAATCTCTGCACGGTTTTTAGAAACATTCTACATACAGCTTTCCTATAGCCATTCTCCTTCCCCTGCTGCTCGTCTCCAAAATGTATCGATCTGCAAGGCCTTCATCCGAAGAGTACCTCCTCAACTTGTCGCCTCTATTGGCTTCGAATGGTTCTCCGCCTGTGAAAACAGTGGCAGGGTCTGCGTCGGAGCTGCCAGTGGCCTATTCACCTGTTCCCGAAGGGAGCAAGAAGGATCTGCATCATCACAAGCCGCTCGGTGGGGAAAATGGTGTCCATCTCATCCCAGTCGTTCTCTTCCTCTGCGGTTTGGCTCTCTGGCTGTTCTGCCCCCATTGATGACAAAAACTCGTCGGCTCGTCTCCTAGAGCAAGCTGCCGTTTGGTTTTCTGTTCTTCAGTCTGTGCATTTAACTGTCACCACGAGCAAGCATGTTTACCATGTCCCAACTAGCTTAGCTTCTTTTGCAGAGTTCTAAAAAATGAAAGATACATCTCCATCCTTCTTTCTTGATTGCATCAATTGTTTCGTGGTGTTTTATTTTTTGTTACAACTACGGCCATATCCATAGACAAAATCAAATGCACAGAATGAGAAGAACGTTGTTGCAAGGTCGTTTTTCGCCATGAGATGGATTAGCCCGATTCGTAGACGAACGAACAAAACGGTTTACTTGTCTGTTCCCCAACCGTCACCATTACCATCTTCAACCTCAAGCAACCGTTTCTAGGGAAAGAAGAGTTCCTAAAAGGCTAAAACAGACGTGGCAGGATGTAAAGGTTTTCCAAGACGACAAAGAATTGGGTGCTGTGGATGACTCTGTTTTAGGGAATTAACAGTATGGAAACAGAACCAGTTGGAAACGATGACAAGAAAAACTGGTTTTGCTTTGCTTGCTTATAAGGCATAATGCTGTCTTTGGCGAATACTACAAGAAATAAGGGTTACTTTTATGTGTGGAATTGAAAGAAGAAACGCCATGCCTAAATTGGTATCCGAATTCTGTTGGACCTGTCTTGTTTTCTTGTAAGACGAGGTGAACATGTTATTTCTTTTTCGGTAAATGATATGTTTTTCCTAAACCTATATAGATACCTTTATAGTCATAGTAAAAAGATGGGATGTCATCTTTAATCGTCTTGTAACTTGTAATACTTCCACATCCTAGTAAAGTTTCTTCATCGTGCACTTCGTGTTCTTGTTTCTCTAACTCGTTCTCCAATTTTGCAGCAATACTAGCTGCCTGCTACTCCCTATCCTAATCCACTTCGTATAATATGCGTTTGTAATTTTACACACACCTTTGAATCGCTTTAGAATTCGTCGATATCATCATCATCATACCAAGGTCTAGAAATGAGAATATGACCATTTCATCTTCCTGCCTCATGAACAAATACTTCTAGAACTTGATTCAATATTTGGTCACAACTCGCCTCGTCCAGTGCTTCCTTTCGACTGTATTTAACAACTTTATTAGACCCTCGTAAGAATGACAGTATCGATCTTTACCCTAACTTCTAAGTATGGGAAATCTTTCAATTAGTTGTGTGAAATTCCACTAACCATCATCAACAAGAATACTACACAGAGAGATCATCTGAACTTTGTAAGCACTCTTCTTCTTCTTCTTCTTCTTCCTCTTTGTCTTTGATTGCAACGTGAAATCCTTCCTTTCCCATGAGAGGACAACAAATGGAAGAGCTGGCCGATAGATAGATTCCTCAACTTGGAAGCCTCACCACCACCACCAACATCAAAACCGGTCCATCCTAACGTTTTCTATTTATTTATTTATTTATTAATTGAATTAATTAAATGTATGAATTTAAAAAAAAATCCCAAAAAAAAAATCATTGCCTTCACCACACGTTGTCCTTGCCAAGTCTTTATCATTTCTTTTCTTTTCAAAAAAAAAATTACGATTAAATGCCGTACAAATATACGGTATATATACACGCAGGTTGTAATGCTCGATTATGATAATAGTATTAGTTACTTGTCAAATTAAGTATTGCAAATGATAGCATCTATTAGCTACTAGAATCTATCATCCATCTCATGCACAACAAATGGTAGATTGTGAAAAAAAATTGAACTTTATTGATGGATCATCACGGTAACAAATGCGATGTATGAATCTGTCCATTAAATGGTCGATTTATCCGCATTAAATAGATTAGAACTTGACATAACTTAAGAGATTTTGGCGGTTAGGGGAATTCAATATCTAGAGCTGCACGATTCGACAACATCGAAATTGGTGGCTTTGTAAGTAGGAGATTTTTTTTTTATATACATTTGGCGAGTTGAGATGGGTATATATGCCAGGTGTTGCTAGGGTCATCATTGACAAGGTTAACCAACGGAGCGAAGCGAGATGTGCTATGATGGGGTGATCTCGAGGCGCTTCGTCATGGGTCTTGTTTAGTGACTATGGAGTTCGATTTGTACGTAAAGGAATACAATAGGATGAACAACTTAGTGGTCATAGAGAGTAGAGACAAATTTTTTGTTACTTCCAGGTGAATTCGAATGGTTTTGATTTCATTGTTGGTTTTCGGTCGGTTGTGCGAATATTTGCATCTTTGTTTGGCTTGTTAATGCAAGTGATTATACAGAAAACAAATCTCACCTAACTCTAAGCCTAATTAGATGAAATGACATGATGATGTTACTCTCAAAGGAGAAAATTGAATCAACAAAGTTGATGGCACAAGCGATCACAATCTTTAAACACAAATTTATAGGAGAGAAAGGGATGTGTTTAATTATGTGGGCATTAAGCATATGATAAAGATGTGGGCATATCGAATCGAATTCATCCAAGCAACCCATTTGATGGTTAGTGTCTAACCTTTTTGTTAATCACTTTGATTATATATATAATACCACTTGCTTGCTTGGTAGCTAGGCCCATAGTACTACGTCTACCATGTTGCTAATTACAATTAATAATGATGATAATGGCTGCAAATTGATCTTTGACATGTTCAATGCCTTGGTCCTCATCTTCTCAATCGTCAAATATGGCACTCTTATCTTATATATGGGCTCGTTGGAAATTTCCGGTTGGTATTGAGGAAGGAGCAATATTGTTCATGACTACCATTTTTTTTCCTCCAATGACATTGATCTTTATTAACCTTGAGTACTATCAAAACAAAGTAGGAATTTTTGTCTAATCAATGAGATGTTATGAGATGAATTAGCTCGTTTTGTGTTGAAGTACGCTGTAACACCGATTATATGTAAATTTTTTGAGTTGGCATCGTCCGATTTCTATGTGAATAGATCGTAACGAGGGTATATTTTCACTAGAAAATTAACTCGCTTCAGTTGGCCCGTGACATCATCCGTATGTGCTTTGCGATTTCAGATTTGTGGAGTCATCATTGAAGAGGGCTCTCGAATAGTCATTCAGTTGCGACAAGGCGGGGGGGGGGGGGGGGGGGGGTTTGTATGTTGTATTTGTTCATAGGTCATTAACTAGCTAGCTGAAAGTTGTTCTTCATGTTGATCGATCCCTTTCTATTTTAATTATTCGGTTTGCACGTCATTTTGGCGAATGAAAGTGTCTATTAGGTAACAAGATAAGCCCTACGTACCCTAGTCTGATTTTGGTCTTTGATTTTTGTACGGCGACAGATCCAACAATCTAGTACTCTCAACATGTTTCGGTCAAGTTAAAGGAAAATACCAATCTCTAATGAGTAACTAAATAACAACATTTTTCGACGCAAAAATATAAAAATGACAAATCGATCAACATGATCACGAAATGCAAAGAACCGCTTCATCAGTTTCGACCTCTTTTTGTAAGTGACATCTTAACTAAATCTCAAAGCTTGTTCCTTGAGAAGGTTATCAAATCAAATAATGATCACATAATGAAGGCTATCAAATCAAATACATTTAAAAAAAAGGAAAATAAAGAGCCAAAAAGGTAGGCTAACACCCCAAGGCGCACAATAGCAAGAGGCAGTTAATGACCTACCTGCCTGCCTTATCCCAGGCCCAGCTCAACAAAGGCTATTATCGGGCGCCGGTTAGGCAACGGAAAAATTATTATTATTTCATAATAATAATTTAATAAAATCACTTGAATAAATTTCCAGTTAAAAAATTGTCCCTCACATTTTCCTTCCCAGTTCTTGAAAAAAAGAAAGGAAAAAAAAAAAACCCAGAGAGCTATCGAATCCCAAAATACGAAATTCCGTGAAGCAATTTAACTAAAAACGAAGAAGAAGAAAGAAAGAAAGAAAGAAAGAGCAGAAGCAGCAGGAAGAAGAAGAACCCAAAAAACATTCCCGAGAGAGGTGAGCTCTCGCTTCTCCATACATTTGTTTTTCTCTCGATTTTATTCGGTTGGGTTTTGTTCGATTCTGTCGAGCTCCTTCAATGGCTGTTTTTTAATCCTTCAGCTGAATTCAGTATGATTTCATTTCTTTTTTATCTTCTTTTGATTATCTGGGTTGGTTTTGATTCGGCGCAAGCTTAGATTTTTTGTGTGTGTTTATTCTTTTTTGTTCACCTCGTTGGAGTCAATTTTTCTGGGAGTTGGTTTGACCTGTCTGATTGGTTGCTGAGAAAAGACGGTGAGAAAATACGAGAAAAGTATTTTTCCTTTCCTCCTGTCACCGCCGGTTTCCATTCATCCCCTTTTCGGCTTTCGCCGTTTTTTTTCCCATCTTCTTCCTGTTGGGTTAAACTTGTTTATGCTGGCGAGCCGGGGAAAAAGGGCGGTACAGAGAAGCTCAACTTAGTGAAACAGTGATCTTTTCTTCAAAATCTGATCGTGGAAATTTTCTATTGTCGAGCAACGAGCTCGCGAGAGCTATACCACTGTGTTCTCGATATACGATTTCTGGTTGTTTGGCTCTTTTCCGCTCGTGGATTCGTTGTTAGCTTGTTCTGCTATGATCGGTGGTGAATATGGTTTATCTGGATTCGTTGATAATTTTCTCAGCAACCGAACAAAAGGGTGATCAGAAAGCGTAAGTTTTGGGAATTGGATTTATCTAACTGTCTACAGATCGGGACTTTGCAGTTGTTTCATTTTGCCTGTGCTGAGTTGTTGTTGTGATGGTGGTGGGGTTTGTTTATCCCTTTGATTGACGTGGTGGTTCTTCTTCCTGGGAAACAGGGTTTTGCTATATTGGCGGGGGCGATCATGATGCGATTCAAGAGCGGAAGCAAAGTGGAGGTGCTGGAGAAACGAGATTCGCCTTCAGGCTGGTGGCGTTGTGCCGAGATTGTGTGTGGGAATGGGCACAACTACTCTGTGAGGTATGATGGGGATGCTGAATTGAAGAGGGTATCGAGAAATGCTATCAGGCCATGCCCACCTGCATTTGAAGTTTCCGATGCTTGGGTTCCGGGCGATGTAGTGGAGGTGTTTGATGACTGCTCCTGGAAAATCGCCACGATCACAAAGGCATTTGGCGATAATTACTTGGTGAGGGTGTTGGGATCATCCGCTGAGTTCAAAGTCAGCAACTTTTGCATTCGAGCTAGGCAATCTTGGCAAGGTGACAAGTGGGTTGTGATTGGAAAGGTACTCCCTCGTAGTCAATCTTATTTCTGTTCTGATTTAGCTGCAGCTTTATACCTTCATTGTCTTGCATATTGCATTTGTTTCATTTTGGCTGTTCATGTAACTAAGCCTTGATTTCCTAAATTGGCCAGCGCCTACGTATTTCAAATGAACTTTAGCTTTGATGATTTCGTCGGTTTTCTTTTTCACCAATTGGCTAAATCTCATGTTTTATGAACTAAAGATGTATACTTTAGGTTCTACCTGAACTATGGGATTCATTACTAGAAAGCTATAGTTAAAGTTTAAGAATCTCATGGAGCTTGTTTCCAGCATCTGTTATTGTGCAAGTCCTTATCCACTCTGCTTTTTTTGTGTCCAGGGAAATGGGAGCTGCAAAGATAGGAAACCCCAGGGGAAGTTATCCCTGAAGAAGAAAGCAAATGAGAAAAATGCTTCTAACGTTCAATTGGTGCACTCGAGGAAAATTGTGGTGAGGGAAAATGCAGTTATGCCGGGAGCGAATAAGGGAAATCTCCAGAAACCCAACATGACTGTTTGCAAAAATGTGAAACGAGGTGCTTATGGTGATTCGCAAGCTGAAGCATATTACTGGACTCCAAGAAAATATAGAGCTGTTGAGAGAGGGGGCAGGCCGAACCGACTGGTTGCTGCTAATAAATCTTCGCTGTGTGAAGAGGTATTAGCCATTGGTTTCCCCAGCCAAGCTGGGTTTTCCGAAGTGGATGTTGAGAGGAGGCAGCTTGGTGGAGCTGTTGGATGTTCATATGCAACAGACCTAGAATCTAGTGATGCTGATAGTGTTGCATGCTCAGTTGGTAGTTGTAGCATTGATGACAACTATTCCAATAGATTCCGTCTTCGTGCAGGCCATATTGAAGATGCTGATTGCAATTCTAGTGATGCAGAATCATTCTGTCCCCGCGAAGATCAGGAGGCAAACATCCCCCTTCCAACACAAGAGCAGTTGACTGGTGAAATCCATAGGTTAGAGTTGTATGCCTATCGTTGCACGATAGAGGCATTGCACGCTTCGGGCCCATTGAGTTGGGAACAGGAAGCATTGGTGACAAATCTTCGCCTTTCCCTCCATATATCAAATGATGAACATTTGATGGAGGTCAGAAATTTAATTTCTGCTGATAGTACCATTCCTTCTAGATGACAAGCCAAAAAAACTGGATTCTTTCTCTTGTCAAATTCATTTCCTGTAGCTGTAGGTTCTTTGCAAACGTTACTTGGATGCTCCATTGTAAGAAGCAGGTTTAACATTTTGTCCTCATTGCCGTTAGTTTTAAATCGTATAGCCGTTGAGTTAAAGTGAATGTACCAGAAAAACCTCCTGAGTAATGAATATACTTCTACTCATCTTTGCCTATTCCTGTTACTTTATTTCCTTAAAGTTGGCATTTTATTCTGTATGGGGGCATTTGATTCTGTATGGCCTTTGAGAAACAACTTATGGTACATGCTTTGAGTTCATGGGAGTACATGCTTAGCTGTTAAATCATATGGGAGCTGATTATGGTTTGGGTTCTGTGTATGAAACAATGTGGACTGTTTTATCTTGGTGTTATCTGTACCAATTGCAGTGGAGAAATTTTGCTTACAGGATACTATTGATTCGTTATGATGTATTTTCCAGGGCCAAAGTAGGAGGCTTGTACACCTCAATTCAAAAGTGTTCAAGGATGATTTTGGGGTTTGCTGCCTTCTCTTGGTCTGCATAATTGTCCATCCGTAGAACATGATATTATCAGGCTGCTTACTTCTTTGTTGGCCTATGGCTCCAGGCAAATATATGGATCACAGATATTGGGATCTACTGAAACAGCAGCCCTGGCTATCTGGTTGCTGCTTGATGATCTCACTTGTGAGATATAATGTATCAGGTTTCCCTGATTTAAATTGTTTATGCCTTCCTTTTTAACATAATTTCTGATGTTTTCTGCTCATTTTATATCCTGCATCGCTTTTTTTTGCACAATGCATGCTGTCAACAATGGAGTATGGACCAGCATCTTGATTTTATTCTGTATCAGAGTTACCATTAAGAACGGAATTGAATCTTGATGTACAAGATTGGAGAGATTGAAATCTGTTAGCTGTGGATGGTATGTTTCAGCTGCCCAGGAAATTTTCCGGCACCTTTCTTTACACATTTCAGTTAATTGGCAGGATGTATATGACTAGAGGCATGAGAAATCAACCGCTGATCATATCACAGCTATGTTTTTTGATGAATAATCACAGCTATGTTAGCATTTACTGTGTTCAGGTATTTCTGCAAAATTCAGGTATGATCTTTGGAATCCTGGTATATGCTGCTGATTGATGTTCCACCATTGTAAATCTCTCTCTCCATTTCAGGTCAGTTTGTATCAGACGTTCACATTGTCACATTGTGTCGTGCTTGTAGATGACTGATCAGATCGTGTGTGGATCAAGACCTTGTCCAGCTCTGGTCAGAAGAACTGAAGAAGGCTGGAACCATACGAATAAAGCACATGCTAAGGCCTCCAGCGACATTAGGGTGCCATGATCCCCCGACGATGTCACATTGTCGAGTTTGACACTCAAGAGGCAGATGCTGGAAACCTTGGTCTGGGATATACAAGTCCCCGTCACACATTTGTTCTACTGGCGGTCCTATCCGTCCAACTTAAGGCAGATATGGCATGAAGGAGGTTTACTTTAGGCACAGACATGAGAGGACAACAGTTACAAGCGAAACTCAACTCGTCTCTCTGTTCTCGCCATCACATCTTCCCTGTCATCGTGTAACTCGGAACATCACAAAGCTTGTGGAGGGAGAAATTCCCTCCAAGCAAGCTGTATGCAGGCATCAGAGACCAGTAGGAAGATGATCGGAGCTCGTTCTGACCCTTGGATACTGAGATGCTGGAAGATGAATAGCTGAGAGTCGTTGTGTTTACTACTAGTCTGCAGCAATCTACCACCACCAGAACCTTAGCAAGGGTGAAACTTGAAAGGCAGCCATTGAAGATATAGGCCTAGGTGACTTGAAGCCCATTGGGTCGGATCTCAGAATTCTGCAGACCCATATCCGTTCCTAATACTGTGGGCTTGGCCCTGAAATATGATACCCTTAAGTTATCAGCATGTTAGGCCTGGTTTCAGCCTGTGTACTGATCATCACAGTGAAAGGAAGGATGGATTTGAATTGTTTATGTTCTTCTTGCCTCCAGTTTACCTGTAATCTTTTTGTCCTGACATCTTCAGCCTTTAGTAAAGGAATGAATCCCTACCTCTCCAATGTGTAACATTCCTCTTAAGTTACTACTTACTTGGCGTGCAGGCAAAGAATATCAAGCTATAGTCTTTTCGTCCAATGGACAGGAAATCTGATTTTATCTGCCAAACCCATTACTAAACTCCCTTTCTTTTCTTAGTTTCTACCCAATAAGACAACAAAAGGCCATTAACCTTTGGACCCAAAAGTATATACATCTTTTCCCTTTCTTCCCACGTTCTCTCTGGCTGGGTTCTGCTTCTGTCTGCCCTTTTCGTGTAAATCTTCTCCTTTTTCTCCCCTAATTGAGAACAAGAAGTAAATAAACAAAGAGAGGCAAAGAACCAGACGTGGAAGACTGACTTACATATTTGTTTTTGGCATATTGTGTGAAGGAACAACCCCCACTTGGATCAACACAACCTCGCGGAGAGAATGCTAATTCGAGTTATTGAGAGCAATATGATGCTTGTTAAACCTAACGTTTGCTCATGTTCCAGTAATTCGCAGCACCTTCTCGAGTAGGCGTCAATGAGAGCTTTTCATCTCTTGATTCCAACATGTCTACACCGAAAGCCAGCCTTGTTGATGATAATTGTTCTCATTGTATGAACAATACTCCGAACGTGGTTACTGACTATCTTATATGATACTCCAGACCGTATTAGTAGCCGACGTTATGTGTTACTGCTTTGCGTCGTAAAACAAATCATTTGAGATCGTACCAACCAAGTGAACATCAATTAAAGAAAAGGGGGGAGTTGACAGAATCAAGAATGGGAACAGGGTGGCAATGTCGCAGAGAGATCAGCAGCAGCAGCAGCAAGTGTGTTTGCAAGGTGTCATTCCTCCTCCACCTTTTAAAAGTCCCATGAAAACGTTACTGAGGAAGCAGAACATGTACAGAGAATACATGAAGCTTGATCAGACAAAAGCTTCTGCAACATGTACACTTCTCTATGTAACCTGTCTACCCAGATTAATAATTACAATAACAGACCGTATGAAACACAATCTGACTGACTGAGTGGGATGAGAATGTGGTGTTTGTGTTGGTTAAGGCATTAAACAAAGAAGTCCCTACCAAATCCTCTGCCCATTTGTCTCATTTGCGTTTCCATCTTTCTACATCTCTCCCTTTGTGATTGCAACTCTCCCATGTGATGATGCTTTCTCCCATTAATCAAAGGGAAAGAGAATGACAATGAGAGAGAGAGAGAGAGAGAGAGAGAGAGAGAGAGAGAGAGAGAGAGTGGGGCTTTCTTGGCTTGGAAAATGTTACCCTTTTCATTAGTTGGAAGTTTGACCTCTAATATGGTACTTGTCATCAAAATTATTCTTTCTTTTGGGTATGTGGATGATTATGATGTTGATGAAGTTGATAACCACCACAATGATTTGGCTTGATTCCATCCACACCTTTGTTTCGGTTTCAAAGTATTTCAAAATTGTTTACATCACATGACAGACAAATCAATTTATCCCGCGATCTTACATTTTGTCCATCTGCGATTACTTTCTGGCCTTCACTTGATTTCTTCAAGCCCACATTGGATTGGATGATCATAGAAATGATTCTTTGTTGTTACCTTTGGGCATATTCCACCATCTTCATCACTAATTCTTTATATATGTTTGGTAATCACTATGCATATAGAGTAAGGTGTGTAAGGAGGGATTTTGGTTCATTCTTTTGTCCTTTCCCCATTGTGTAGTTAACCTCAATGTGTTCTTTGTTTCCAAGAAAAGCAAAGCCCCAACATCTCAGCAACCGAGGTACATAAATACTACAAATAAACATTCGAGATCATCATCCTAACTACATAATTAATAGGTAAACAAGAAGAGTTTGGCAGGGACTTCTCCCTTAGGCACACTTACTAAAGTATATTACGTGTACTCATCAACATGTCCAAATCCATGAAATATGTTTGGAGGGTTTTTAAGTGCATTAGTATTGATATCATGGAAATTACCTAATGAGTGAGACAGTTTAGAAGCAAGAGATGTATTATCACAAACAATCTTGTTGGTAATTTGTACTAAGAGAATTCTCTCCCGGAAACTCGTGACCCGGAAGAGCGGGAAGACAACCCACAACCTAGCTAGTTCTAATGACAGCTTTTGTCGCCCGAATCCGTCATACGAACCTCTCACGACATCACCGAGCATGCTCTAGTATAGCGGTGAAAGTAAATTGATGTAGACTCGTCGATAACTCCTTCAGTAGTAACGACAACCCAATCTCTCGTCGAGGTCGTTCAACAATATGTGGGGAATCATGGCATTGGTGATTGGTAAGTGCATTGGGAAGGCCTAGCCATTGCCATGGTTTGGGAAGACAATTCCCTTGGTTAAGGAGTTTGAGAAGATAAGATAAAAAGTATCCATTAGCATTCTTACAAGGTAGAAAAATGTCAAAAATAAGGAGTGGGGAAGGAAAGGAAAAGAGAGAGACAAGGGGAAGACAAGAGAATTAAAGAGGCAAGACAAAAGGTTTGTTGAAGTATCGAAAGTTGTCTTTGGTTGTCTTGGCCTTTTTGTTCATTTGTTCTTGTTGGATCTTCTTTTGTCTTGGATCGATTTCAAGGGCAGAGTGAGTAAAAATAAATTTTCTTGAAGAGGTGTGATCGATCATCAAATTAGTTGCTATCAATTATTATTGGTCCCGATCTTGGACCATGGCTTTGTATCTTTCTCCTCCTTCATGCCTTTAGAATTCATATACCAAACAAAATTAATTACATAGTACAGAGTCGAAATCACTTCCTTTTTCATTTTGTGATCGATCATATTTTGTTCGTATTCGCTTTATACATAGTTGTTTACTCTGCTCTCACGTTACTGAATTCCACCACCAATAATTCTACTCACCTTTTTGACGGGAACTTTTCAATCGTCACAAAAAGAACTATATAAAATCTTGAAAACGATTTGTAACGATTAAAGAACTAATAGTACATGATTTAATTTTCTTTATTTCTCAACAACTAAAGTTATAGGAGCTAATTTGTTTCTGATCTTGAATAAGAATTCTTTGTCGAAATATCAGAATTTACAGTATACGCGATTACATCATGCATGGTGATGCAAAATTAATTCGATTGTAGGAGCTAACTAGAAAAATGACCAATCATGGAGAAGAAAGTGAGATCTCTATATTTGTCTAGAAGTGACCAGACAATGGCAGCATTGATCAAGGGGGCTAATGAATAATATATAGTATTATTGTAAATAAAAATATTATATGTTGTAAATACATATATAGAGAGATCATATGTAGCAGCCAGCTAGCTCAATGGCTATACAGCTATATAACATACAATACATTAATGTGTAAAAAATAAAATATGGAATTCAATGACATGGTTGTATTATTGAAACATTATTAATTATTATCATTCTAACCATAATGTTTTATTATGAAGAAGCTTGTTGAATTATAGAATCGAAAGTATCATTCTGTAGTATGAAATCCCACTCAACCATGGAGGGAAAAAAGAAATTATATTAATGGTGGTATCTCTCGTAAGACCATTAATAAGAAGATTCTCATTGAACCCTACATTTACAAGTAATTTATATTAATTTGTCAATGAAAGTCATCGAGATTTCATCGTTTACAATTCATGGCGAACCATCTAAGGGCGTGAGGCTACGAAGGAAACAATCAGTTCGGTGTGACGCTATGGAAGAATACTGTTTTATTTTAATAGCATGCTTTTAATAAAGCTAACAAAACATCTGTTATATAATTTTCAGAAAATTTTTGTATCAATATCGTAACATTAATATCAAATTTTCAATGAGAATCATCGATATATGGGAGGATTCACGGTGGTGTCTTCTCTTTTCATTCCGGTACACTTATCGTCTTTTAACTTATGACAGACCATGTCAATTGAGATCCGATGCCACAAATGAAAACATCAGTTCAATGTGACACTATATATGAAAGAACATTATTTTTTGCATAGCACGCTTTAACAAGACCGAACCAAACATCTGTTGTACATTTTCGAAATGATTCTTGATTGATGCCATGAAATGTATTGGAGATTGGCAAGTAGATCCTTCTCCATCTCTAAGTGGAGTTTAGGTTAGCATAAGACTGTAGCAATGGAATGAAGCCAAAGAAATATTATTTTTGGCATACCTGGTGAGAGGTGGGGATATAACTATTAAGGCATGCTCAATACTAGGGGAAAAAACCACAAAAATAATCAAATCAAAGTCACCCTTTTAATTAACAATCCATCCATCCTCTAATGTCTGTCTGATAATTAAAGGTTAAGATTAGGACCTTTAATTACCCCTTAAACACCCACATTAAAAAGGGGCCAAAAAAAAAAGAAAAGGGTCATATCAAAAGATCATGACTACGTTGAAGACAACACTAAATATTGATATGGGGCCTAGATAGGTCCCTTTTGATCTTCTCATGCAAATCAAAAGCACACAATATTTCATTAACCAAAAAAGACAATGGCTTTATTTAGATAATCAATATTCCCCAAAGGATCACCCATCATCCCTAGCACCAACACTAGTTAATCATGTTTAGAATAATGAAAACACCCTTCCCCCCTAAATTTGGGAAGATTTGGATATTTTTACCAATTAAAGTGAATCATGTGTGAAGATGGAAGGAGTGTCGACTTTGACACATGGAATGACTTGATTTATGATATAAAATCACAATTAATAACAAATATTTTTTAACGAGGAGGGATATCATACACCCGAGGCTATATTGGGCTTCGTTGAATACCCGACGAATTCAGGGAATCAAGTGATTCGGGCTTATATCCATAACCCATGCCAGTTGTCGATAAGGAGTTTTTCCTGGAGGGGGGGGGGGGGGTTGAGAATCGAACAGTCCCGAGAGCATACCACATGTCTTACTACTTGAGCTACCTTTTGGTGATTGCAAAAAATGTTAGTTGTTGATCTAACTATATGATATCTTGAATATGAGTGAACTCCAAAGCCAGCGAGGTGCGAGGACACTCTTCCTTTTAGCGTTGCATAACAGTAATGATATGATATTTATTTGTGAATTCCTCCTGATAGCTTCACTCAATTAGACGAATGATGTGTTGAACGAATAAGATTGCACGACACTCGATAATCAGAAGTAAATTATATGAAGTTGGACAAATTTAATTAAATATGAACTAACCTCATTGATTTAACAAACATTTTCTTAGGAGGAGAATGTTTACTTGGAATGTGTTAGTATATGTTGGAAAGCATTTTAATATTGAGCTTATTATATGAGGGGTAAACTAATTATGAAATGTGATCACATGCTTCCATGACATGCTTAGATTCCTCTTCAACCCATAAACAAAGGTTGCCAAAACAACATTAATAAATGGGACAAAACACAAATGCAAGTAGTGGAGAGAGCAAGGGAGAGCATAGTGAGATCTTTCACTCTTCCTGATCTCCCCCCTTTACCACATGCATCTCTTTGGGGACCATTAATATTGCCCTAAGATTAGAGGCCCTGCCCCCTTCCAAGGGCAATGAGAAGATCCCAAAAGGCCAAATTACAAAAAGGAAAAGGCCATAAAGCTAGTGCCTTCAAAAAATGATTTAACCATTCTAAAGTACAACTCAAACAAAATCCCATAAAAAAGCACCATTTGATGGGTGTATTTTAAAAGAAGAAGGTTTCCATTTTGCATGTTGGATTACAGCCACCACTTACACCATTTATTGTTTGCTTTGAAAGAACATTTCATGCCCCTTTCTTTCTTGGATGGTGCAACTATCCCTTTTGATTAGTTTGCCACTCTTCAAAACCTTGGAGCTAGGAATACTTTGATTGTGTCTAGGGTTAGTGGCTAGATGGTCATTGAGATAATAGGTATGTAACAACATAGTCACTATATTGAAAATTTGGTGAGAATGAGATAATGACTGAGCTAACATACCGATTGAGTCAATATGCCCAAGTAAGTTTGCCACAGTATTAGAAGCCACATTCACCCCGGTGCACATCCACTTGAGTGAACCACTTCTCGAACCCAGATCACAAATGGAAGCCACCCCTTCATGTCCAGTTGACTTGAACCGTCTGGCCGATCTAGCTTTCAGCAAATGTGGGTGCAACAAGTGCTGATACAACAACTTTAACCACTTGTCGATACTATTCGACGTGCTTTGACAAACTGAATATAAATTAGACCAAATAAGTAAGGGTGACTGATGTGTTATATATGCCAATTAGTTATAATTTAGTTTAGAACCCCATTATTTTATTTCTGTAATAAAACTTAACTTCTTGGATGAAGGGCCGCTTAAACTACTTTCCTTCACCTTGAAACCGGGAAGGAAACTTCCACTATAACGTTCTGTTTCCCAAGAACATCCTATGCTAGCTTCTTAGCTCTTCCTAGTTACTAAGCTCTAGGCCACGTACCGAGCTTAATTGATTACAAAGTTGTTAGTGATGTGATCCACGAGAATATACGACGGTGATGGTGTTCAGGGCAGAAGAGGTTGATCGAGGCCAGAACAAATTGATACGAATTTGTATAAGTTCGGGGGGTGCCTTGTGCTTAAACCCTTTTAGTAATACCGATATTATTAGGATTTGAACAATAGACAACTCCGGATCACTAGTTGTGATACTATGCTAGAACAAAAAACTGTGTCGGGATTCTTGAACATATACACATTACATACACATGAGAAATTAAGATAGAGAGATTGAACATAAGGATCTTTCCTACCCTACTTGTTAGCTAATTACCCCTAAAATGATCCTAAACCCTAAACCCAAAAAATTAACCAAAAAGAATAAAATAAAATTACAACCAAGGCAAACACTCTCCCTCCTATGGTATGGAAACCATGGCCATCCTTCATCCCAATTCCTAAATCAGGGTTTCACCCTCAAAACCCAAATAATAATAAAAAGCCCCAAGAAACCCCAAAAAAGAAAAACCCATAGCCTCCCATTTTTTCACTTTTTTTTAACAGTAGGGGTTAGCAAATGTATACCATATTACTTGGGGTATCATTTTGTAATTTTCCATCCTTTTGCTTTTTTTTTCTTTTTCACATCGACACAGTATGACGACCGCTGGATACCAATTCCGATTCCGATGACGGCAACGATTCCGATGACGACGGGGCCAGTTTCTCAAAGATCACGGGGGCGCCGTACTGTGGGTAGAGCAGCATCAGCACCGTCGGCGCGTGCTTGTACGTCGGCGCCAGCTTGAATCTGAACCGTCGGATTAACATCGCCAGCGTCAGCTTGGCCTGCATGATGGCCAGGTTCTGGCCCACGCAGCTGCGGGCCCCGAGCCCAAACGGAATGAAGGCCGCCGGATGCTTGGCGGCCCGGGCCACCCCGTCCGCGAACCGGCCCGGGTTGAACTCGTTCACGTCGTTGCCCCACACCGCCTGGTCGTGGTGCATGGCCAGGATCGGGATCAGCAGCTCGGTCCCACGTGGCACCTTGTAACCTCCCAGCTCGACGTCGGCCCTCGTCCGCCGGATCGTCGCGATCGTCGGCGGGTACAGCCGCAACGACTCGTTCAGTATCATGCTCAGCTGCACACCAGAGATTATATCGAAAAAGTCGGTCACAAAGTATCGTTAGAACAAAAAAAAAATGTGGTTCACCCGTTCCACATCGTTAAAAACCCGAACGGAGAGAGGATTAAGCAGTAAAAAAATTGATGGGGGTAAAGTAAATTAAGTAGTTACCGTTTTGAGTTTGATGAGGTCATCTTTGGAGGGAATGTCACGTGACCCGCACACCCGGAGGAGCTCGTCACGTGCCAGCGCCTGCCAGCGTGGATGCATAGCGAGAAGGACGGTTGTCCACGTCAGCAGATTGGATGTGGTATGTTTGCCGGCGAAGAAGAAGCTTTTGCACTCCTCTACGATGTCGTTTGGCGTCACGTCGTTCGGCCGGGACTTCGACGCTTCAATCATCAGGCCCAGCAAGTCCTTCGCCGGCGCCGGAGACGCCGCCGTTGCAGAGGAAGAGCTCTCCCGCCGCACGTCGATCAGCTTCGTCAGCGATTTCCTCACTTCCTTGTCGAATTTCCACGAATTCACATTCCTCCTCGTCGGGAAAAACCTAAAAAAGAAGAAAAGTGAGTTTTCCATTTCGAAATTGAAAAAAAAAAAAATCCGCCTCAATTCAGGGGATTTTTTTTTTTACCGGTAGCCGGGGATGAAAACTTTCTGGAAAGATTCGGCGGCGAGGAGCATCTGCTGGCCCTGAAGCTGGAAGATGGCCTTGCCGTCGTCGTAACTAATTCCGAAGGCGGTTCGAGTGATGACGTCCTCCGTCAGGTTTTGAAACCACTCGGAGACTTCGACCTCGACCTCGCCGGAATTGGACATTGCCTGGGTCCACTTGTCCAGCATTCCGGTCACGCTCTCCGCCACCACCGGCAGCAACAACTGAATCAAACAAGAAAGACCCAAATTTTTTTTTTTAGTTACAGATGATGGAAGGGAAGCGAACTGATTGGTGAGTAATGGAAGAAAGCTCTGACCTTGAGATTGTCCATGTGGAAAGTCGGGGTGATGATTTTGCGGTGGTGAGCCCATTTCTCGCCCTTGAGGCTGAGGAGGCCGTCGCCTTCGAGCTGCTTGACCAGCGGGTGGGCTTCCACCTTCTCGTAGAACTCGGCCTTGGAGGAGAAGATCTCGCGGATCAGGTCCGGGTCCGATACGGTCAGCCGGGCCGTGGGTCCGAACCAAACCAGAAATGTCGAGCCTGCAAAACAATCAATAATGAAAATGAAAAAAAAAAACAGAGTGTGATAAGCTCTTCCCGTTTGCACCGGGACGGAAATTGTGGGGGGAAATGGGAAATCCTCAAGTAGTAAGTGGGAAGTTAGCAAAAAGAGGAAGGAAGTGGTGAAAGTGAAAAAACAGAGACAGTGAGCAGCAGAGGCAGAGGCAGAGGCAGAGCCATTAAATTCAGAGAGGAGGAGGAGGAGGACTGGCGTGGTGGCGGGGCACACAAATGGAAGAAGCAAAGAGAGGAATTGCAAAAAGACAACTGGAAGCTTAGAACTTCATTCATTGTCATTATCAGAACCGGGAACCCCAAAAACCATTGAAAGGAGACTCCTTTCTCGCCCTATCCCTCTCTCTCGCTCTGTTTTTCATGAAAACAAAAGGACAAATTCCATGATAGATGTTGGGAAGATGGTGGTGAAAATTAAAACCCAGCAAAACCCACCAAACCTAAAAAGCTTGGCAAGAAAGAAAAAAAAAGGCTGAAAAGTTGCAGGGGAAGGGGGAGGTAGAAGGAAGAAAGGAAGAAAGCGGTTTGAAAAAGGAAGAAAGTAAGAAACTTTGGAGATGGATGAGATCACAAAGAAAAGGAATTAAAAGCATCACATCATAACATATAACAGAACCCCCAGAAGGAACACCACCACCTCCCCGCCATTAATGACTCTGTTTTTCCCAGCAAAAAAACTCCCCCCACTCAAAAATGCTGTTCTCTGTACCCGTCCCCCATACATTATCACCAAACACTCATTAATTAATGTAACAGACGGGAACCCATTGGCGGAACAGGAACAAGAATCAAAACCCAGAAACCAAAGAAATCAGAATTCAGAAGTGGTGGTAGCAACAATAGCTACACAGCTCACCATAGATTTTCTTCCACTGGTGGTAGAAGGAGAGGACGCGGGGCAGGATGTTGTGGGAGTAAGTGGGCATGGGCTGAGAGGAAGCCTTGAGCATCATCTCGACGAGCTCCTTGACATTGCCGATGAAGAATCGATACGGCGGGCCGCGGATGCCCTGTTTCGAGAAATGGTCCTCAATTCTCCTGGGCTTCCACCAGAGGAGAACCACGATCTTGAGGACGAACACCGCCGCCAGAAACGAGGCCGCCGCCAGCTTCAGCATCAGCCATAATACCACCACCGCCCCTTCACTGTCCATTTCGTTTCTTCCTTCCTTCCTTCCTTCTTATCTCCTGCTCTGTTTCTCTCTGTTTTTTTTTTGGGTTCTCTCTGTTTTGTGACGAGGAGAGGTGATGATATATGGAGGCTCTGGTTTTTGTTTCTTGTGCTGGAGGAAGAGGAAGGGGGGAGAGGAGTTTGTTTGTAGGCGTGAGCTAAGTGTGCGTTGGCTTTTTAATAGAGCACGAGAAGAGAGAGAGAGAGGGAGAAGAGAGAGAGAGAGCAAGGGCAGCGGCGTAGGGGCCGCTGTTGGGGAGAAAGCTTGGAATTGGAGGGAGGGGATTTTGGTGGTGAGGGTCAACGACTTGATTTTATGAATTTTTTTTTTTTTTTGGGTATTCGGGTTCCTTTCAGGCTTCAGCTGCCTTCTACTTTGCACGAAATTTCAATACTGTGTATTTTAAATTATTCGAATACGAGATCTCTCAATAAAAACTATGATGTTATTACAAATTAGTTTCAATAACTCAATGATAGGGAGAGATTCTAAGTATGATCATTCCCATACAATTACAAGGAGGTGATATATCTTTTTTTAAAGAGCCTTTTTATTACGAATGATGAGTTGTTATACTTGATCCAAAACCATAGATGTATAAGAAAGATGGGGTTTGATTATCCAAAAAAATCAGGCATTTCCATATGATGTCGTCATGTGTCGTGATGCATTGCGGCGATAATAGCCTGATAGAGTCGTTTAAGATAAATCTTATGTTCGAATTCAACGACTTTCGGTCAGAATCTCATTTAAAGTAGGTCGAGAAAGGTCGGATGGTTTTTGTTTTCCCTGCTCTCTCGTTAGTTTGCTAGATATTTGTAGAGTCTGGAATCTGCGAAAGCGGAAGGTTTTTAGGTCTGAAGCCTGGACTCAACAGTCTTCGGTCAGAGCTTATATTAAGGTGCTCCTAAAAAAACCGAAAGAATACATTTTTCTACTCTCGTCAATTTGTCAGATATATATAAAGTCCGTAATTTGCGTGAACCTGTGACGACATTGAAGAGATCGAACGCGTAATTCACATTATAAAAAAAAAGAGAAACAAGAAATAAGTGGTGTAAGAAAGAAAACAACGAGTCACGAATACAATAACCTGGTTAATTATCTAGAGTGTATTGAGACACTCAAGATCATTATGATGATCAATTATCGAATTAAATGTATTGTGATCAACAAATACCTAATGGAATGAATATCGAATCGAGTATTTTTGGTGGGATGAGTAGATGGTAAATTCTCATCAATGAGAATTTAATGGTGTGTGATTTGAAAATTTTGAAGTTCATCAAACATCCCTTTTAACAAAAATACATGGGGAAAAAACCAATTTCTCTCTTTTGTTTATTTAGCCAAGGAAGTGGGTCTTCGTAACAACCGTAACGTAAGCCTAGAATTATGAATAAGATTTCCTTGTATTTCAATATTATAATAATAATCAGCAGCCGATGGAATGGAATTTTGAAAGGAACATTTTATTTCATTTCATATTTGGTATTTTTTGTTGTTGCGTATGGATGACAACTAAGTATTCGTCACTTTGGAGTTACCGAGCAATCTCCGAAGCAGGCTCAAGTTAGGATGCATAACCATGGGTTATGCACCCATCAATAACCAAATCTGGACCCTTCATTTAGAAAATCCAGTTCTCAGGATGGAGAATTAAAGGTCATTTTTATTTTCACTAGCTTTCTTAATTGACTCATATCTTTTTCGTTTTAAATCAGATTTTAATTTTTTTTGCACAGATGGAACGAGTTCATCGTGCTCTACAAAATGAGATCAATTTTCAATATTTTTTTAGGAAAAAAAATTATGGCCTCTCGGTACCAACTGCATACCATATGGTATCTTCTTCGTTTTTAATTTGTTTTTAAAAACGTTTGCACAGCAGGGACGAGTTCATCATGATCTATTGGATCTACAAATTTCTGGGTGAACAAATTACAAGACAAAAAAATACCACACAATACCATACAATACCACCCTGGTACGGGGTGGTATCTTATGGTATCTTATGGTATACAATGTTAAAAGTCGTATTCAACCATCCTACAGTTTTGGTTTGTGTCATACCACCATAGTACGCTTTTCAAACCATAGGTATGCTCTTATTTTAATACCAGTCAATACCATATGGTATAGACTAGTATAAAATGGCTCAATTTTTTTTGTTCGAAAAATATATCAAAGTGGATATCATTTTGAAGAGCACAATTAATCTGATCTAACTGTGCAAAAAAAATTAAATTTCGACTTAAAACGAGTGAGAAATCGTCCGTCAAAGATTAAGGAGGGGAAAATTAAAGACTTTGCAGGAGAGAGAGGATGCTGATGTCATGCTGATGTGGGCGAGTTACTCATAGTTACTCACCATAAGATTACTGACCTGATCCGTTCCCCAGAAATATATGACATATAGGAAAGCAAATCCGCTTGCCTATATAGGTGAAACGTCGTGATTAATGGCAGAGTCAGAAATTTTATAAAGAGAACGATAAATATATATTCAAAATATTTTTAATCTTGATAATTGGGTAGGGGATAACGCCTCGGTTGTCAACTTCCATATATAACAAGATGGCATATACTAATGAAACAAAAGTTGTTGTTTCTATTGTGATTTAAAGTCGATTTACAAATTAAGAGGCCGATTTGTATAATTGAACGATCGGCCACTGGTATTCCGAATGACTTCCATATACAAAATTTTAATGAACTCAGCCAGCCTGTGGAAGAGCACGATTGACCATTATAAACCAGACCAAATAATATATGCGTGTCAAATGGGTCGACTTATTGAGTAATTTGATCACATTGTCGTGACTCATACGAATATTGGATCGAACCCAAATGAACTCATGTGCACTTTTAATGATTTGGTTTTGATTTGAATTGGGTTCAATTTGAGTAACTCATGTGGGTTATACCACATGGGTCTATTTGAGTCCAGATAATTGTATACACACAAAGATAAATACCAACCATATGATTAATTGCCTTTAACCTGATTACAATTTTTTTTATATACAAACCTGATTACACTTTTAATGTAAGTGTTTCCACTTTTCTGTTTGGTTTATAACCAAAAAATAAGGTAAAAAGTGTATTAGAATTTAGTATCAATTTTATTTTGGTGTCGGATACTATGAGTTTAATTAAGACCCAAACTAGAAGTTGTTTGTCTCAAAAAATAAAATTACTCAAATCTAATTTGATCCGTAAAGATTTGGTTATTGAAAAATATTCAAATATCGAGTCTTTTTTTTGTCATCCCAACAAACACACATATATATATGCATTATACTTCATATACCAGTCGACTAAACTTATCCACTATAATTTAAATCATCGTAATTTGAAGTTTTAACAAACTCACCATAAACATACCTCTAAACACATATGTTAATACTGATAAATAAAAGAACTTGTGTTGCATACTTTGCTCATTATAATTGGAACTTAGCTAGCTAGGTATGGAAATGTCTCCAAATCCCTAATTCAGTCTACCTGTAGGACCCAACCAAACCGAGTTTTAGTAGGATTGCCGTGGGAATTGACCCGGTCCGAGTCAGGATTTCCAACCCCTTTCAACAAATTCCCCCGGTTTGCCCCCACCTTAAATTAGGTAGCCATGCAAAAATACAAAATTTAGGGATTAAACAAATGGACCATACCAAAAATATGAGGTATTTTATAATTTTCCCATTTTCCCTAATGTTTTTTATTTATTTATTTGACGTTGCAATTATTTCTTACCAATTGTTTATTCCATATTTTAAGGGGTTGTGTTCCTCTTGGAGAAAATGGATCCACCTATTTTCCGGGGTAGAGAAAAAATAATTAAATTAGCTAGTCCATGTCAATTAGTTTGAGAAAATTCCAAGTTGTTGAAAAAGAGGGTAAAAAGTATAAATATATAAATACTAGTGAATGATTCAGACTAGAGTATTTCTAGAGAGATTTTATTATGCAACCCATGAATCAACTTAGGTATGGTACTATATTATAAATTAACCTTTAATAGCTAAAAAATATTGAATGACTAAATCTTATACCGTAATCATCTAAACTCTAAGATCAATTAATTAAAAATAGAAATCAGCTATTTTGATTCGACAAAATACATCTAACGACCATAACACTGAGATTATAATATATATTAGAAGTATGCTAGCCTTTGTCATTAATTAATTATTTTTAGTTACTAATATGTAAAATGAAATAAAATAAATATATTGGCTGGACGATGGACATTCTAATATGGGGCTGTGCCTCAGATGTTAAACAATTGCCTAGACATTCTAGCTCCATATTTATTTTATTAAATAATTAACCCGAAACAAAAGTTTTCGATAACATAAAAAGGGTGGATTGGATTGGCCTCTTGTAATCTTATAATATCCAAATTGGAATTTTATAAAAATAGCTTTTTTTTTATTTTATCTCAAACGTAACATGATGTAGGTACTGTTATTTTTGGAGGTTTACTGTCCAATACTAATTTAATTATTATATAGTACCATTTTTATGAAAATTTAACATCTTTATGAAAAATTGGTGTCATCTAGCTAATTTTCTATGATCATGGCATGATTGTTGGAACAAAGTAGAGATATCATCAGTTAAATATAGGTATAGGCACTATTTTTTTTGTTTAATTATATTAAATGGGAATTGTTTGTCTTTGTTCACATATCTAAAGTTGTGAAACTTAGGATTGGCGAATATATGGACTAAAAAAACTTATATACAGATTTTTCATTTTTGGAGGATTTGAAATTTTTAATCAAGCTTGAAATTAAAATTATACATTATATTCCCTCCAAAAAATAAAATATAATTCTAATTTTCAGTTTTATGTGACCATGACATGTTTGTTGAGTAATATTTCTGGGTTCCTTAACTGGAGTTTATAAGATGCACGATTTTATTAGAAAATACTCCATGCATTTTTTTAATACAATATTTTGAATCCAAATGCTATGATGTGTTTGGAGGACCTTCCTCCCCCTTTAGCCTTTGCCCTTCGAGCTCACATATTCTCTCACTCTATTTTCAGTCGAGCAATTTCGTTTCTTAGGCCAAGGGGAATACCTACAGAACCTGTATAATTATGGAAACAAGCTAAGCATGTTACATGTCCTTTAAAACTAGCGTTAAGAAAGTATCAAAAATATGAACTCAAATGTAAGAGCTACGTAATGCTTCAATTCAGCCTACTGATCATAATCGATCCAGCTTATGATCTCAGACAGATGCTCTGAGCTATCACTTAATTAAATAATCAGCTGCCTTGTAAAGGAGTTGCTTAGGGTGTCAATGTATATGTATGTCAATAGGGAATTTGGTAATATTTGAGTCTATTTCTGATGAATTGTCCCTAATCTGAAAGTCTTCTCTTTACTGGCCCCTGTATATTATTAACGATGATATATGCATCATAATAATTCACGGAATGAATTATTCACCGGGTATTGGACACAAATCACAGGAATGAAAAATCTC